ACCCTATTTATATTCGGACAATTGTCCTCGTCTTTGTTATTCAAACAGAAATTCTTCTTCTTCTTTTTTTTTTTTTTTATTGACCTTCATGATGTATATTTCATGCACATATGTGAAGACCTGTTTTCTAATTTTAACTAATTGCTCACTCAATTCAAGGCCCAAGAACCACTCAAGGTAGAGGTCTACTAAAGAAGGCTGCTGCAGGAGTGTTATATAGGAATAAAGTGTCGTTGCCGATACTTGAGTTTAAACCTAGATCGTCAGTGAGCAAACAGAGGCGATCCCATTATTGAATTAAGTAGACCACATGACCATAGAGGAAAACGCATATATGTAGGAAGTAGCTGACAACCAACGATCACTATTTCTATTCTATCCTTTACTATTACTATTCAGATCGCTATTTCTACTCTATCCTCTGTCACTATATGGACCACTACTCTCTACCCTATTTACTATACTATTCCTCTATTTGGATCACTGTTTGAGCGAGTATTATTGAGCAAGTACTAATAGTGCAAGTGATATTTGAAGGCATCTGACACCAGCCTTGTTTGACGGTGTACTATAGTTGTATCTGCGATTACAATGTCTCTAGTACAACAAGCATTTCAAAAGTGACAACTAGCATTTGTAGACATCACAAAAATTAGGTAAAAAGTGCAGTTTATGAGGATATGTAGGAAAGATAAGAGTTAATACTAGACTTGAAGTTAAGATAGTAGTGATCAGGGAAGCATGCCCTCAGGAGTTTGTTCTGCAAAGTAGTGTTTTTATATATAAATTTTTAAGAACCGATTTTATGTGTAAGACATACAGACTTTCTTTCCAAAAAATAATTAAACAAAGACCTTATTTCAATCTGAATGTCTTATTTAATTTAGCATCTTTCTGTCCCCCCAGATCTGGTACAAAAAGCAACCAGTCTAGGTCTACTGGGATGCACACCAAATTCCTTTATATACTAAATAAGACTTCATTAAAGGAAATGTGAAAAAGTGCCATTCTGTGTCACAATTTAAAGAGTAATGTTTTAACAAATAAAAAAAAAAAATTATTAATGATTACATGCATTGATTTTCTGATCAACATCGTCATCTTGGTTGTTACACACACACACATTTCAGTTGTTGTACCCTTCAAACCTTCTTCAGGTGTCTTCTTGAAATTTTAAACTTTATTCAATTCACAGAGATAGATTATTCTCATTCAGCTTTCCATGCTTAGGGGAGATAACTCATGTCAGCTAATACTCACAGCTCTTATCAGTCTTTTTCTCCTCAACCAGAGCACATGACAGCACTACCACCCCAAGGATAGATCTCACAATTGCTAGTAATCAGATATGTTTTAACACCTAGATCCACTAGGCCACAATGTCTAAATGTAGAAAACAGAATGAGAACAATCTACCCATGTAGACTGAATAAACAGTTCAACTCAAAATTCCAAGGTATGGTGACCTGAAGAAGGCCAAAATATACAAATACTATGTTCGCTCAATTCAAGGAACAAGAACCACTCAAGGTAGCGGTTTACTGAAAATGGTTGTTGCATGAACAGAAGAGGTGGTAAAAAGTGCAGTCTATGAGGATATACAAGAAAGATAACAGTTAACACTAGAGTTGAAGTTAAAATCGTAGTGATCAGGGAAGCATCCTCTTGGGAGCCTGTCTTGCAAAGTAGCGGTTTTTGGTAAGAAATTGTCCAAATCTTAACAAGGGAATATGAAGAACATAGGAATGATTCATTCCAGTGTATGTGACATGGCAGATCTTGACTTTGAAGATCAGAATTGGTGGAACTAAAGAATGTAGTTTGTCTGAATATTTTCCATGGAAATAGGAAATGCTCTGACAATCTACATTCCTATGAGTCCATTATTATTTGACATATGGAAGAAATGCACTCAATATTGGGGTAGATTACTTAAAAATCTGTCAGATTAATAAATAATAAATCCATTCCTTTTCTTTACAAATTGCTTTGTTTATATTAGGATAGAAAAATGAGAAGATATGTCTGTTTCAAGAGCCAGAGAAAAATCTGTGTTTAAAGACACAGTTCAACTTGGTCACTGACGCAATTTGTAGTAGAGAGGTCAAAGCACGTCAGATCTAATGACAGTTTCCACTAAGAGGACACAAGTGCATATTTTTCTCTAAGATTTCTCAAATATTGAGACTGGTAGACAAAAATAAATATACCGCTTAATAAATAAACAGAGTGTCTACTCAAATACAAGTATCCACTAAAAGTAACATTTAAGCAATATATATATATATATATATATATATATATATATGACATCACAATCCCACCCTCAGTCACCATGCAAGTCCGTGGTCGATGCCTTGGAGTTGGTTGCCTCGATCCTCAATCCAACCATGTTCATGTTGTGTTTGTTTTAGATCACAGGCCAGTGAAGTCCGGGTCGTATACTCAACATCATTGATCTGGTAGATTTGGGAAGATGACATCACAAGGAACTAAGTAAGAGAGAGCTGTGTAACACAACAATTTTATAATCAAAAATTCACACAATCAACGTTCTACTCACTAAATTAACAATACGCAGATTTTCAGCACCTTCCCTCTTAATACCCTGTGACACTATGTTTAGTCATGTTCAGTAAACTGGTACAAGGCTGAAGTCTTATTTCTTCCACTGTGATTTCTTCAGTCAGAACATTCAGCTGTATTTGGTAGTCTGGAAGAAGTCTGGAGTCTAAATTCTTTCTGCAGAAGCTGCGCAGGGTTTGGCAAAGAGGGTCTTGAACCAACTGGCAAACAGCACCTTGAGCTGTCTGGTTCTTTCTTCTCGTCTCTTGCCTCACTCATCTGTATTTATGAACATTCGCATAAACCCAGAACAGGGCATGAGGTGGTTGGGAAATTGATTGCCTGATCAAATTTGGGGAGATCCCTCCACCAAAGAGTGGTGGTGGCAGAATATCGATCCACCCAACTCCTTCAATCTCACGTGGGTGCCTCTCATCATCGTTGCCCAAAGGGTGCAGGCAATTCCTCTGCCTTCCTTGAAATTCTACATTGGCCCCTTCCTCCTCCTTATCAAACCTGTTCCCAGAGACTAGGCGTGGTCTAGCCCAAATTGCTGAATTCAATTATCTTCCAAAATTTCCATTAGCAGAGAATTATTATCCTGTCCTTGTGGAGTTGGTTGCATCTGGGATTTTCACCTGTCGCTTCCCCTCATCAGCTCTTTAGTCAACAAGTGATAAAAAAGAAATATGACTACAATTCCATTCCTGTTTGCCTTTGGAAACTTGTCAGTCTTAAAATCCAAGTCTTATCAACTGACCAAATTTTCGCTAGAGACTTGCTGTTAGCCTTCATGGGTAGCCTTCCCATTACCTACTTCATTCAATGAGTGGCCCACTGATGCTTTATCTTATTCTCTCATCGGCACTTGAGGTCATTAAAATATAACCTTTTCTTCCACATGGGGGCGATTGGATACTTAAGAAAATACTATCACTTAATATTAACTTGACCAAAAACAGATGGCTTCTATGCTATCTGCTGTCATGGAGAGAGAAAAGTAAACATATCCTTTCATTTTCCTTGTCTTGTTATCAGTATGCTTTCAGTCTATCGAAAAACGGTGTTTCTTTTCTTGCTTTCCAGTTTATTTTTAAAGCCTTTTTCCCAATTTACCAGCACTTTAATAGTACCACATATATGATAAAATATACTTTTAAGATATGCTATATTTATGGGTTAAAGGGTGCAATACCAGGCCAGACAATTGTATTTAAGCATGAAACAGACTGTCACCAATGTTGAATATATTCAATGCAAAACAAAAGGCTCATAAAATATTCCAAAATAGAAAAACAGTCCCTCCTGACAAACCAAATGAATCAAAAAATATACTGTCCTACCAACTATCACATCTACAACTGGAAAGAATATAAACTCAACATAAATTTGTTACTACTACATCTAAAACAATAAAAGATTTAGTCAATACTAAACAAAACAATAAGCTAAAACTTGAAAAAGGAATTTGTTCAATCACCTGTAATAATTGTCACCAAAAATACATAGGAGAAACTTTAAGGTATCTAAATAAAAGATTATATGACATATTACAAAACAATACATCAAGTGTGTTGGTTACCCACCATAACGAGACGGACCACAATTTTGACATGAAAACACTACGTTGATCAAAGGAGAAAACAATTCACTACAACGAAAATATCTAGAGAGTGCCTTCACAAGGTCATCTAGAGTAAATTTACCCCCTGGTTCTTACAACATTTCACCATCCCTGGCAGAACTTCTATTATCACAGTGTTGGATATGTACTAATAAAAGGGATGGAAAGAAAAAGAAAATAAATGAAATCAGCTAGATGGAAAAAAATAAAAATAAAAATGCCAGCATCCCTCGTTGGTGTATGTGTATTACACCAACAAATTTAGTCTGATGAAGTCCTGATAGCCAAAACATGTCATACAAAAACTTTTTCCTCAATATTGTTCTTGATATATAAAAATGTATATATCATTATTTCATATTATCAATACTTTTCAGCTGTATGTTTTGTTTCACATGTCATGGCAGATACAAATATTGAGATTCCAGCAATTTTGGGGCATTATTTTAAACTCAACCTCAAAGCCTCTGAAATTGGTTACAGAATTTGGGAAGTGGAAGGAAATGAAACAATACCTGAACATACTGCCCAAAAGTGGTTTAAAAAGTCTTAGGGGTGGTGACATGTCCCTTGAAATAATATAGAAAGCAGAAGTGGACCTGATCAACACTTAAATATGTTCACAAAAAGAAATATCATAAAGACATTTTTTTTTTAAAGTTAAAAAAAAATTTACATACAGAAGTTCCCAAGACATTTTCCATAATAAAAAAAAAAAAAAAAATGAAAATATTTTTAATAGTTGCTATGATTTCTGTAAATGTATAGTTTCTATCTTTTATGCAAATGGCTGATAAAAAAAAATGTTTACCTTAGTAACAGGGACATTTTTTTTATAATATTTTTCTTCTTCCTTCAAAAACCACCGTGGAAGATTTGTATCATCTGTCATATACCTAGACAAAATGTGAGAAAACAAACAAATCATTAACTGGTTTGATTTTTTTCTTTTAACAGGAATTAACAAAAATATTTGATTATTACTGAGTACATATACAATTGTAGCTTTTTATTTAACTCATGATATCACAAGTAAAATTTACTCAACAAAAACATCAAAACTTAATATTCATTCTAACAATTACTTGTGGAGTAACACAGCAGAGGCTGAGTGTGTGGGGAGAGAGGGGACTTTAAGCTATTCTTATCCTCACCTGTTAATATTATTGTTACTCTACCAACATCTAACTTTTTGCTTTAGTACTTTTTTTTTTCTTTTTCATTAACAAAGTAAATATTTCTAGTGATAATTGATGAGTAAATATGGAACTTTAAAATTTCAGATCCTAAATTTGTTTTAGCAAATTTCAACACAATTTATTTGAAAAAATAAATTGATTAAAAGTGATCAGGAAGGCAAGAATTACTGACAAAATAAGGCCATGAGTTATTGTAATGTAAATGCATTCTTAATGATTTTACACTAGAAATGTCACACAATTTATTTTGGAAATGTATTGTAAATCAGAGGAAAAAAAGAAAAGGATTACAAATAATCCATTATACCAGCAACTTAAATCAAGGCTAACTGACAAAATAAAACTATTCAACGTTATAATGTTAATGGGGCAAGGATCCAAATATAGCAAGGATAATGTAGACTTTTACAGCCTACCATCTGTTAAGGAGAATTAAAATTCCTACAGCAAATAAACAAAAAAAAAAAAACTACAGAGAGACAAGTAGTGACTTCTGCGAAAATTTAGAATGGATATTGTAGCTATTAACTTCAGGTAATTAATTATAGATAAAGAGATTTTTTTTTTTTACTTTATCATTCTAGTGTATAGCCAAGATGGCTGGCAATAGGATAGTGCATCATGGGATTGATTCTTTTCTCTAAAAGCATTAAGGCAAAAACTATACAAAAAGATTTTATTAAAATTTATTAATGAGGAACAAGAAAAAAAAAAGAAAAGAAATAATAATGAATGCCAAAGAACACATTATAACAAAGTGGTACTAACTTCAGTGAATGGCATAGCCCTTTGTCTTTTTAGAGCTATAGAAGAAACATGACCTGAGAGAATATGCATTTCAGGGATTGCAATAAAATTAGCAAAGAGAGAAAGAGAAAAAAAAATTTTTTTTTAAAAAGTACATCCCCCAATGTAATCGTTTTCAAATCAAAAACATGTGCACAAAATCAAAATTATTTTCAGACATACAAATGCTCTTACCTATTGTATCCAAACTCAAATATTTCTCGTTTCTGTTTTTTGGACTGAATCATTCGTGCAGCTATTGCCATACCCTCAGCATCGAGTTCAGGGGCAGCTGATAAAAATTGGAATGAGAAATAAAAAGATGATGCTTGGGAGAATAACAACAACAACAATCATGTAAAAGTAAAGATTAAAAGAACAGAAGTCTCTCACACAATAAATTACTGACCACCATTTAGTATTAACTAGTAGAAATACAGAAAATTAAGAGAAAATATTTTAATGCTGTTAATGCATATATTTATTTCTGCAGACTTCTTGCAAAGAATACAGCAGCAACCCCTGCCAAATGATGCTGCTGCTGCAGTGCTGGAAGGAAATTAATTTTTATGGGGTACTAACCTAATGACTAAGATGGACTCTCTTCTTAAATACATATTTGTGCTTCATGACAATAGTGAAGTCTGAAGACTTAAGTGCATTCATAAAACTGACTTTGATCATTCAGAATCAAGAGTCAATTTTAATTCTTTGAAATTAGTTTTAAAAATTTTGGTTATTTTGTCTCAGTGACATTTACAATTCCGATTTTTTGGCTGTGCCAAGAAATTTCCTACTCAATACAGTAGTTAAATATAACAGATTAGCCAAGAAAGGATTTTGTATTCTGTTGCTAAATTTTCAAAAAATCTGTCTTATCATAGAATCAATCAATTTTACTATCAATCCAATTCCTTCTAATTACACAATGCACACAATTACATGATACAATTTGTTACAATTACTTTGTTGTCTTGAAAATTTCTTTGTATAATTATTTTTGTAAAAAAGAAACGTTGAGCTCAAATGTTCACTAGGATCGTCATCATCATAATTTATCATGTCAAGAGTTCCATAACTGATTAGGGCTACTGGAACACCGCATGTTCTGCAGTCATTGTAGCACTTGAGTGTCTAGGACAAGATAACCTGATGGAGTGCATTCATCTCCAGCTAGTTTTACTTCTAAACCGGTTGCCACTTCAATGTAAGAAAGACCAGCTGGGTTTACTATTTAACCCACATGAAGGGGAAGAGACCAATTTTTTAATTTTCCCAGGATATTTGCATGAAAGTAACAAACTCAGCTGGAATTTAAAATCTGCTTGACAATTTCTCTTTCCGAGTTGCTAACTGCTAGGCTACCCACATATCCAATTTATCATGCACTTCGGTTTTAGATTATTTTTTTTTTGTCAACTGTTTACAACAATTCATTCAAATCTTCCAATACAACACATTGAAGTTTCTCTATTTGCTACGTCCCATCAAGACATAGCCGGCAATAGCTTCTCACAGCTTCCTATCATTTGCTACTTTCAACAATACTTTCCCTTTTATGACTGACTTCTCTTTATGTCGCTTGTTTCTCCAGCCATTTTCACAAACATGTCAAATATGTTACTCATCGCTTTCTTTTTCCTTCTCTTGTCTTCAACGTAAATAAAAAATATAGCTAAGGACAAAACACACAACACATCTTTCATATTAGACCCGATGTTAACAACTGCCACTGCTTGTCATCTAATGAGCGGTTACAATGCCTAAGTCCCACTCACACCAGAGAGTGTGGGATCACTATACGGGAAAAAATAGATTGGATTCTATTTTACTTTGCTAAATTGTTACTTAATTATGTTATGCAGAGTTTCAGCATTTTGTAAATTATAATTGATTGATGTTACTTAATCGTTTACTTGCCACTTGCAATAATTTCAGTGGGCACACAACAGATGTTTAAACTGTGTTAAGGTAAATAAATAGTTAAAAAAAAAAAAAAATTAAAAAAAAAGGCCCTTTTTTTTTTTTTTTTTTAATTGAGTTATTTCAAAGCTATGCCAAAAGAGAATTGAATGTAATTATCCAGCATTCACTATTATATTGGAGAGTAGACATCACATAACAGTCCTGAACTCTTCTTTGTTTTTAATGTTACTTCTCGACTCTTTCTTACTTTATTCTGTTTTTCAATTATGCCTTTTGCCATCGATATGTGCCTATTTGAATTTTTGTGTCAGACTTTCACCATCCTCATTATCAGTACCATAATTGGATCAGGTTGTAGGGTTACTGCATAGAAGATCACCTGAGCAGTTTCCTCTAAATATCTGGGTTGAAAGCCAGAGAGGCTTTCATTTATGCATAGTATGTCTTCGGCAAGTAGACCTGGTGGAGTCCATCGCTCTCCAGGTCAGACCACAGCCAATGTCCCCCAACTTGAAGGCTCTCCTTGGTCACAGTTTCCATGGCTGTTGATTCCATTAAGGGAACTCTTCATACTGACTGCAGAATTCAGTTTAGGTTTAGCTGTCAATGACCCAACCATGCAACAGGTAGTGCTGGGTTACATGTACAATTTTTTTTTTTTTTAATATGTTAGCAAATAACATAACTATAAAATTAACCATCCAATTTTGTGCAATAGTTTTTTTAACTGGTACAACTGACACAATTACAGGTTTTCAACACGACAGCATAAAAAGTGAAAAATGTGAATATGTTTGGTTGTTTTTGTTTAGCAGTATATCATCCTCTATAGGTCATTTAATGCCAAAATCTAAATATTTTGTATACAATTTTATCTATTTATTTTTTAGATAATAATGTTTTAGTGATACAAATCTTACTAATTAACCCATAGCTGGGGAGAGAAAAAGTGGATTCATACCTTTCCAAAAGATACTTCCACATAAATGAATATAACAAACCCAACTGGAATTGGAAGTTGACCCTCTGATTAACAATTCCAATCAATTATCCATTGCACCATCCACACATCCAAGCTTACAGCACCTATTATTCCCATTTAGGTAATGACCAGGTTTGGCGCTGCTTAACTTCAGTGATTGTACAGGAACCGGTGTTTCAATGTGATGTTACCATAAGCCAGAATATAAAATTAAGCTGAATAGTTATGCTAGTCATTTAGCTGAATCTCATCTGATGAAACAAATTTCATATTTTGGACCATGCAGACTCAACCAGCATTGAATCTGTGCTCATCAGGGAATAAGTCTGAGAAACAAGCTATGTCATTAGCATGAAAACAACATCACATTACCAGACACATGTTGTACCGAAAGGTTCTCTCTAGCAGAAGACATCAAGCCTGACCATAAAAATGGCAGAAAGATCCAGAGCTAACCTCTACTAGTGCAAGATCAGAACAAAGGACCTATAGGAGTTTACTGATGACTGATTGCACTGGTATGCCAATGTCCACTAAACCTCTGCAAACACTGAAGAAGCCCAGCATCAAGAACTCACTACTCAAAAGAGAACACAGTGCTACCTTGCAACTTTGGCATTGATCTCAACCACCAACTTTCAATGTTCTCACTGCTCCACACTATGAACATCTAGACTTGAATTGCAGAGTCACATTTGGATCCAATTCAGAATTGCAAAACAAAGTCTTTTTTGGACACAAAGGACAACCATGAATGAATGAAACAAAATTATGCAAAAAGATGTTTTTAACAATAACAAATTTAAGTTATGTAATTAATATTAGGTAAAAAAAAAATCATGACATTTGTTAATAGCAGTTGACCAGATTACTCACTTCTCTTTTGTACTTTTTTGGTTAAAAGTTCTTTATCTAAATCATCATCATCCTCATTTTCCTCTTCTGAATCATCATCATCATCATCAAATTGCTTCCCAGGTTTTGTTTTAGATTTTTGTGGTTGTTGATTAATTTTGTTGACATTTTCTTTGTTTAATTTCACTTGGTGAATCTCTTCATCCTCTGAAAAATCGTCATCATTGTCATCACTGTCCTTCGACAAAAGACCAGCAAATGAATCCTTGGAGGGAAAATAAACAAGAAATTTCAGACATTTGAAAAAGAGAACAACAAAGATGGCAAACAAATTCAGACAATAGTAACAAGTACCAAATCCTAAAATAATTTTTTAGAAAAATGCTGGTTGAAATCTCAGAAAATGAAACTGAATGCTATTAACATTTCTACAAACACTTATATGAAAGGCATGAATTTAAATACCCCTGCATCCATTTACAGTAATCAGTTATCTTGATTATAATCATGTATTTTACATGCTAAAACGAGGACAAGACTGTGAGAATGATGCTGTGCAAGTACCTTTCATTAGAATTCAAATCTGTAGCAGAATCTTCCTTATAGGACTAAAGAGGGAAGACTGGTGGATACTAATCTCAGTATAATAGTACTTGCTTGGACTGGGCAATTTTTGTTTTTGGCCTGTATGTCATTACAGATTAAACAGACCTTGTGTCACATTGTGGAGCAGTGGGTAAATAGCAAAGAAGACTGCACAAGGTTATGGATCTAGCTGGTCAGCTGAGTGTTGTGCAAGCTGGTGGTAGCTGTGTAATGGTTTTTGTGTGCGTGTGTGTGTTGGGGAGAGATGAAGCGTGGTTCAGAAAATTGTCTTCTTTGCAACCTCTTTATCACAAAGGCAATGTCATAAACCTATAACTATTTCCATGGCAAGTATTTAAGTGAGCTCCATTCTTTAATTCCACCAGTTCAAGCCTTTATGACTAAGACCTTTACAGTAAGGACATTTACACAGTCCTGTGAGGGAAGGCTTATTCTCCACTCTGCAGCTTCTTTCCCACAGATTCAACATTGCAAGCTCATCACTACTCTATCGCTATTTCCATGGCAAATGTTCAGATGAGCTCCATTCTTTCATTCCACCAGTTCAGGCCTTTACAGCTCAGAACTGAGGGAAGGCTTATTCTTCACTCTGCAGTTTCTTTCCCACAGATTCAACATTGCAAGCCCATCACTTATCTATCACTATTTCCATGGCAAATGTTCAGATGAGCTCCATTCTTTAGTTCCACTAGTTCAGACATTTACAGCTCGGACATTTACACAGTCCTGTGAGGGAAGGCTTATTCTTCACTCTGCAGCTTCTTTACCACAGATTCAACATTGCAAGCCCATCACTACTCTATTGCTATTTCCATGGCAAATGTTCAGATGAGCTCCATTCTTTAATTCTACCAGTTCAGACCTTTACAACTCGGACATTTACACAGTCCTGTGAGGGAAGGCTTATTCTTCACTCTGCAGCTTCTTTCCCACAGATTCAACATTGCAAGCCCATCACTACTCTATTGCTATTTCCATGGCAAATGTTCAGATGAGCTCCATTCTTTAATTCTACCAGTTCAGACCTTTACGGCTCGGACATTTACACAGTCCTGTGAGGGAAGGCTTATTCGCTACTCTGCAGCTTCTTTCCCACAGATTCAACATTGCAAGCCCATCACTACTCTATTGCTATTTCCATGGCAAATGTTCAGATGAGCTCCATTCTTTAATTCTACCAGTTCAGGCCGTTATGACTAAGACACACCATGCTACTTCCACAGAGATGAATCAATCTTATTTCCACCCATATTCCAAATGTAAGAAGAAAGTTTTATCAGACTTTTCACCCAAGAACTGCTACTTTGTGGAACAGACTCCCATGTGGGTGGTTTTCTGAACACTACAATCTTAATTGTTATCTATCCTCCTTATCCTCACTTCCTACCACATCCTGTTACATTCATATCATATTCATCATCCTCATTTTTAACAATAAGCACCAGGAGTGGTGCTCAAACCTCGTATTAGGTGAATTTTTGTATTAAAAATATCTGGCCCCAAGCTGGTATGATTAGGAGTAGACTGAACATTACAAAATATGTTAGAATTTCAGTGACTCTTCAGCTAGCATGGGGATTCAAATCCATAACCAATTTACATAGCATGATGATTACTATGGTCAAGTTTTGATTCCACTATTAGGTACAAATATTTTTTTTTATTTTCACACAGTGAAAAGAAGTTAGGAATGCCTTTATGATAGAATATTTTTCCATTCTTTTATTTTCATTTTTTACATTAAATTCTATAAGTAGATGACAATCGCTTCACTGAGTAATGTCTAATAAACAAGAATGTCATTTTCAAACACATTACGCTGATATTAACTACAAATTGTCGCATTTGTGCAATTTTAGAATTATTATACATATTGAAACAATTATTTTTTTAAGATTCAAAAATTTATTAAAATGTAATGGTTAATGAGCTTCAATAAAAAACTGGTTAAAAATTGTAATAAAATGATTTTTTTTAAACTGGAAGAACATTTTCAATAAGTTTAAACTTTTTAAAGTAAAAATGTATTAAATTTAAAACTCTCTGAAAACAAAAATTGGAGGGAGTAACAATGATATTTGAACTGAATTCAGAATGTTCATGGAACACATTTTACTGACCTTACTAAACCAATCATCAACTCTCTCTGAAATAGTCTTTTTATTGACCAATGGAACAAGTAATGGATTCTCTTCTTCAACCCTGAATACAAGAAATAAACCTTTAAATGTTTTTACTTAACAAAAAAAAGTTCTCACATAAGAAACAATAATTGGTAAAAGACGGTTTAACATTTAGCACTCTGCATCATTTATAAATATTACTTCCCCCCTTTTACTTTATATGGAATCCCCCTCTAAATATAGTGTTTTATATATTAGTCCGATATATATTTGAAATTGCAAGAGCCTGGCTTTCAATTTCAATACAGATTGTTTTAGGTGTTGCCATACACAACCAAGAAATCAAAATTCAACTTGCATTGGCAGGACTAACATTTTGCTAGGTGAAACTATTCACCTACAGAGAAGTAAAGGCTAAATTATACAATGTTTAATATGCAAACCAAAGTTTTCCAATTATGACTTACTGGATTTATGGAATTGCTACAGACATTTTTCATAATATATCAGATTATTCCATATGTAAAGAATCTGATATTGATAGATTTAATGATTTCAAAAATAAATAAGCAAGAGTAATAATCATAAACAAAATGGTTGACGTAATTCTTCCAATATTTTTCAATACTTAAAAGGAGCACCATCTAAGAAAAGACAGTGTCTGATGGAGGGGGGGGTCACCATTTTCTTCAGTGTGCTTTACCACTCAGCCAGAGAACAATGAAGTTCTATTTTCCCTTATTAAGAAGGTACATCCTTTTTAACCAAATAATTTTTTCAAAATTTCATAGCTGCTCAGTCTCATATCCAAAACATAAGCAAAGAAATTTCTATAGATTGATCCTTTAATAATAATGCTTGAAGTAATAAAAATACATCCATTGAACAAAATGTCTTTTTCTGATGATTTACCACATGTCATGTTTTCTGCTTTTTTAATCATTTTAAAACAAGTGGGTAAAGAAATTGAGACAGCAATCGCAGAGCAAGAGGGATAACTTCTTCCAGTGAACACACAAACATAGTAGAGACTATTCTGTGTATATATACATAGTAATCTATTCTTTTTTTTTTGGTGGGGGGGATAGATTAAAAGTGACAATGACTTTATTTCTATCAGTATTTTTGTCTAATTGGCAGAATGTTTATGCAAATATAAGAAATCTCATTAAAAAACAAAAACAAAACTTACTGTTCATTGATATCCAACTGATCCTCTTGGTCATCATCATCATCATTGCCGGAAATTTCTGCCATGCTAATATCGTCATCATCATCTTGAGGGTTCTCGTTGTCACTGTCAATATTGTAGTCATAATCGGTTGTGTCTTTGCGGACAGTTTTCCTTCGTTCATTAGGAATATAAATATCATCATCCTTGATAATGTCTTCAAGATCCATCATACTAAGATCACCCTTCTGTACCTCATCAAGGGCCTAAAAGACATCAAAATATATAGACCGAAGATTATTAGCAGATTTATTTATTAAAAAGACGAGCAGGATACTTTGACTGCTCAAACTGATGACATCTCAGAAGAAGTCAATTTGAAATCATAAAGACACTTTTTTTTAATTTTGTATTCACTCTGGAGGTGTAAATGATAGAATGGTAACCAGGAATGATAGAATTGTATATTTTCACTTTGCACTTAATGCTCTTTGGAAAGTATTGGTTCCAATTTGTGGGAATAACTGCTAAAAATTCCCTTCTCTCCAAATTTATAGACAAATCATACAGATGCATGCCAGGATTTTTTCCTAAGCAATAAAAATGGACCATTTCTTGGTCTCATCCACAATATTGTTCTTTCTTGCCTTGAAATAAGAATGCTACAATCACTTGACTAAATCCCTTTTACATGTTAACGCAATTCCTAACCATTATCCTACTGCAGCCAACAATTGTGATTGTAGAATTCTCTCCCTTTGCTAGTCTAGGTGTATTCTGTCGCCTTGAGATGGTTGCTATAAATAAACACTTGTCGACTTATTTCCAGTATCTTAAGCTGGAAATTGCCTACTACTGCTTTGGAACAAGGATAAACTTCCGTTTTTCAACGCCATTTTGAATTCTTCTAGACTGAACATGAGGTGTAACATCAATTAAACCCATGTTAAATTTTTTGCAATTTTTTGTAAGCAAAAATGGCCGTGTCAATATACAACAAAGCCTTTATTCAGGTTTTTTTTTAAATTAGGACTCCGATGCAGATTTTCAAGGCTTTACTCGAGTGGATATTGATGAAGTGGTCGAAGATGATAACCATGCTACTGGCGTGGAGGAAAGTGATGACGACCACTAGCAGCTACTATCATCCATGTCTGATTAATTTTATGTATGCTACTGGTTTCTGAAGGTGAAATATATTGTCTATATGTAAACGATGAAATAATAACTTTATTCGTCAACAAGAACATGTCAATGAGACAAATAAATATGAGTCAGGTGAAAGAAAGAGCAAACAAATGCTAGTGTCTTCTCATATGTAAACAAAAGGAAATATATTACTTTTTTTACGAAATGAAAGCCTTCTTAGTGATTTTGCTTCTAATTATTGCATCCCCAGAACTCCACAAGGAGTAATAAAAGTTAAAGTACATTGAATTATGTATTTTTAATGTATTTGATTTTTATTTTGCATTTTTTATTTTGAGTTTCAATTTTTTTTTGTTTTCAAAATATTCATGCAAAACGTAATGCATTACATCAAAATATTACTCATTCATTCTTTTATTAGTGTACAAAAATTAAAATCTATACACACAATACAAAAAGTTGTAACAATTTTAAAACAGTAGGCGTTCATGTTTTTGCACCCACAAAAAAAAAAAATAAAAAAAATAAAAATGCAGTGGCAGGGGGAACAATTCTAGTAAGAAATTAGTATGGTAACGGTTAATTAATCTTTAATCATTAATTACTGCTGCTTTGCTTAGTTTTTTCTGGCATACGTGTGTTTTTTTTTGTTTAGTATTATTTTGTTCTGTTCATTTTCTTTCTTTTATTTATTGGAAACTATTTCAATTCCATTTGTTGAGCATTTTTACCAATTTAACCACGGCCAATTAGTATACAGAAAGGCACGAATCCACTTCATTCTGTACAGTCCTAATACCTAATGTCTTCATAAAAAGGTCACATCACTGGTATATTACAATGGTTGACAGAAGAGTGCAGTCAGGTCACAGACCCTTGTCTGATAATGACCCCAGGTAACCAAGTACTACATGCATTATGTTACTTGAAGGGGAAACTGGAATTGCCAAGTAACAAACTTTGTTCAAGAGGTGCTATGAAAGAAATCCAACATTTTGTTATTGCTTATTGCAAATTTAATCAATTCTGTTTGTTGGGCATTTCTGCAAATTACATTTAAGCATTGTCAAGTAATTGACATAAGCCAGGAGTCAATTTAATACAAACAGAATGAGAAAACAAATCCCTAACTTTCATTCACTTTGAATCCAACAATTTGAAATTAGGTTCCATCAGGATTTCAGACAGAATTTTTACTAATTTAATTCAATTTTTTTAGTAGCACCACTCAAAGAATCAGGTTTTTATGCTTTCTCCAAGTGAGAGAGTTATTTGTGTTAATACTGGTATTAACACAATAGACTCTTCAAGTAACCTCAACAAAGGAGTAAATTAAAAAAAAAAAAAATTCTAAAAAAACACACAGAAAATATATACGACCTCTAATATTTAACATAAGTGTTTATACACACAGAGGTATGTCCACAAAAGTAGATATACTGTAAGTGTATCATACTAGTATTATAACAGTGGTTTTAGAATTCATTAAAATCATTTTTAATACTGTTATTATAATACATTCATTTATAATTTTTAATAATATTTTATTTACATTATTCAAACAATGTAAATAGGGTAAATAATTACAATACCTAATCTCAGAAATACAGACAAATAATATTTTGCAGGTAAAGAGGAGTGCGTAAATAACAGAAGGTAAAAACTTTGAACATTTGAGTGATTGATATTTTTGTATAATCAATGTTTTGTGTGCAAGTATTGTTTTTCATTGCTACTTTTGCACACTGTACACATACACTATCATTTTTGTCAATATTTCATTTTCCACACATACTACTAAAATCCTGAGAAAGTGAAAGGAGTTTTTATATTTAATTTTCACATAATTACACACAACTATACAAAAAAAAAAAAAACAAATCCTTAACACTGTACAGGTGTTCCAATCATTTCAGATTCATGGTGTTTAACTGGTGCATAAAAGGATTAACAATATAGACTGCTTACCTTTTTTGTGCTGATTTTGTTGAGATTAAACAAAGCCACATCATCCACTTGTTCAATTATGTCATCAGGATGTTCCAACTTCATGTCCATTCTGTGAGTTAATTTGATTTTTCGTTCTCGAATCTTTTTTAAACGCCTGATGAGTAAAGAAGCAAAAATGATTTTCTTGATTGAATATTTGAAACAATCCAATACCAATGCTGATAGTAAATAGCAGTCAATTTAAAAAAAGAGCTTTAATCACTTTGATCTGAACTCAATGTAATATTATACCAGAAGACAAATCCATATTTAAACTAAGCAGGTTTTTCACAAATGACTTTCCTTAGATTTCTTTTATTCAAAGCTAATTTCAGACTTTCCACAAATTAAAATGTGTCAATTCTTCCAATTATCATATTTGTAAGACAAATGGACTTTCTGATTGAAGTTAATCAAAAACTTAATTCACAATCCAAAAGGTCTTGTTAATGTTGCATACTTATGTCCCCCTAGATCTGGTACAAACAACCAGCCCAGGTCTACTAAGATGCAAACAACCCTAAACACAATAAAAGGCCTCATGTATTGAAAGACAAAAAATACAATATAAACTTTACTGAAAATGTTTATGGGGTCTTAACTAGAAATGAAACAATAGAGCAAATTATAGATTTGTTTAATTTAAACATCTTGGCATGCAAGTGGTTAAGGATTTTACCAATAGTCATCAAAATAAAATAAATTTCTTTTTAGCATTAAATACAAAACTATTTTAGCAAAGTTTTCCTGTGGCCATGAAAAACTGTTGCTGGATTCTATGATTTTTGGATAAAAATAAGTCACCTGTTTGTAGTGGGAATCAATACTTGATATGAGTGTGTGTATGTTATATAGTCAATATTTATAGACCCCGGGAACATTTATCCCGCAAACAAGATTGGTGAACTCATGCAAGTCCAGGTAAAAATTAGGAACACAAAACAATGAATTCAAAACAGCAATTATATGCATGTATTAACAAACGTAATTGCATGTGTACACAATTGAAATGAAAGGAAAAGACATTGAAACTAGCTATGAGTGTGTGTGTGTGTGTGTGTGTGTAAGAGTTCAGTTAACAAAGGACCAAGTAAGCAAACACGCTCTGTCAGCAGTGTTCATTATTCACGTTCAACTACATCTGGAGGCAAAAGTTAAAAGAGAGAAAATATGCCTGCATTTTTATAGACTTAAAGATCACCTTCCAAAAGGAGAAAGATACCTACTTTTTCAAGTGCTTCCTCTCGTCCTCTTTTGCTGTTGCCAGCATCTCTTCAAGTTTCAACTCCTCATCTTCTTCATCAGTCTCAACAACTTCTTCAGCTACCTCTTCTTTCCTAGTTAAAGAAGAAAAAAAAACATTAAAATTAAACAGATCTCAGTAAGTAACTTGTATGTAATCAAGAGAACTTTTCAACAAGTAATAGTTAATTTTACCGGCAATTGCAGGTAAGTTGATTTCTTATCAAATGCTCAAGTTTCATAGCCTTGTATCAGACAAAGCTAAGTTCAATGAATACAAGCCTGTAGTTTATATGCACATATAAAATAAAATGCATATTTATACATGTTTATATGAATAACACTTTTCAAAGTGCACAGATACTACATATTGATCCTAATCAAAAGGACAAAAAATGACACTTTGAACTTAGGCAGAAGTACCAATCAACATTGATTAGTTGATTTTTTTTTATTTTTACAGCTTATCAAACCCTTTGTGGGTTTTTGAAAGCCAAAACATTTTTAGAATGTAAAAATAATTCTTTTTTAAGGGTGAAAATTGCATTAACAATTTTTTGTGAATAACAATTTTTCCAGACACAAGTTCTATTATTTAATCCATAGCTGTGGGGGAGATGGAATCATACCTTTCCAAAGGGAACTTGTGCATAATTGAATGTAACAAACCAGACAAACCAAACTGATATTTGAACTCTGCTCTCTGATTTCTTATTCTGAGCCACTATCCATTACACCACCTACACATCCTGTACCAATCAAGAGACTTCATCTTTGATAGATACTATGCTAGCATTATATATATTAGTTTTTTCATATTACATCAATCACAAAAAAAGCAGAATCAAAAAGCATTAAAAAGAAAATGAATAAAAAGTACAAGAAAAATAAATAAAAAGTAAAAATTTTAAAAAGGTAATAAAAAATTCAAGGTGTCCTTTTCAGATTTTTAAACATAAATAATATAAAACTTATTTAACATCTGTTTCTTCACATTACTGTAATCTTTTTTTATCCCCGATATCTTTTTCTGATGTAAGACATGTGGTTTTTACTTTCCCAAAAGATAAACCAATTGGAAAGTTTGTCATTCCAAATGTCTTGTTACTTTTGCATCTTCCTGTCCCCCCAGAAATGCTATAACAAAAAACATTCTAGGTCTACTTAGATGCAAAAAAAAAAAAAAAAACTTTCCCTTGCACTAAAAATTTTCATTTTATTCATGTTGAAGTATGGCTCAAGGCCCAAAATAGGGATGGTCTCAGTAAGTATTGAACTCAGAGATTAACCTGCTAAACCATTACTCCACAGAAAACCATCCTCTTCATTGCTTTACAAAAGGTTGGTCAATAAGTTTGTAGTTTGATAATTAACAGTTGAAATTTTCACTGTATAATATCCAATCTATGTGATGATGTAAGAAGCACTGGGCTAAGTGTATTGACAAAGAGATTATATAAAAAAAAAAAAAATTTGTTTCCATTACCATGACGAGATGTATCTATACACATTCAATTTCACTGTCCCATTGATGAAAGCTATCAACTTCAAAAGCCACCCTCAATTCTGCACTGAATAACTATATTTACAAACTACCACAAAAATTTTGTTGCTATTATTAATAAGCAACAATATCAAAACCTGTAATCATATCACACACATTTGGCTGTGATGCATGTGCCTGGTATACTCTTATCAGATTGGAGGGTCATGATGGATATATTAGGTCTCCTTTATTTGCACCCCAGCATTACTTTATTGACATGCAGTTCTCACAAGCAATAATAAGGATATTATTATTATTATTTTTATTTATTCTATACATAAACACATCATCTATTGCTGAATGAATCTTTTTAATAATCATATGGAGGGCTAGTGCTCCCCCTCACCAACAAAAAACAGAATTCAACTGTGGCATACAAACTGAATCATGAAATGTCACAAGTTGACATTATTCCAAATCAGTTTGCCATATGGAATGGTTACGGATTTCCTTGTCTTCTTCCTCATGGCTTTTCTTCTATTTTTTTTTTCTAGTGTTTGCAAACATGTCAGTTTTTGAGATAACCGATAGAAAAGAACTGAGAAAGTATGAAATGTGGAAAAGAAGCTTTTCAAGGAAGACATTTTAGGTAAAACAAAAATATACAAATGGTATTCACATTCCAAATGTGTGGAAATGTCATTTACAGACCAGCCTCAATCTGGGTGACCTTTAACAAAACTGAAATGGTAAAAGATATTGAAAAAGTTCAAACAATCAATGAAAATCCTAGATGATGATTTTATCTTAGAATTCACATCAGCAAATGTTAACAGATTTGAAAATGAAATGTGTTCCTGCAAAACTCTTTTTTTGTTAGTTCATAGTTCTTCATTAAGAAAAGAATTATTTGAATGTGTGTCACAATTAGAAGGAACAATTACAAAATGATCCACAGTTTCTTTCCAAAATTGTAACTCAGGATAAGTTACATCATTCTGGGTATTTTGTGAAGAATTTCTTGTATAGATATCTTATTTTTGATATTCTACTTATTTATTTTATTATTATTATTATTGTGGTGATGATGATACAATGGTTACTAGATAAACAGTAAAATCAAATAAAGGAGAGTTGGGTCTGACTAGATTTTATTTCATAGCTAGAAGGCCTTTGATTGCTGGTGACATCACTAAAACATATAAAGATTTTGGAACAAAAAATGGAAATGGAGATTAAGTTCTATCTAGATGTGCACTCAGGGTCTCATCAGTTCTTGATAAGTCTACTGGGGAAGGTGGTCTGATGTTGAAAAGCCCAAAACTCTCAATGATCTCAATTATGAAACAACATTCACCCTCATCCCAGGCATCATAAAGCATATTTTGCTAACTACAATAGATACTAGATAATAAGCATATGCAGTAAAATCAGATTGCACTCCATGGCAATATCAGTCAGGCATTGCCTATGTCAGATGCATGGTGGTATAATGGATAGCAGCTTGGAATGAAAATTCCAGTCAAGTTTCTTATGTTCACTTACATGCAAATGCTTTAGGAGGTATGAATCCATCTTTTCTCTCCCCTAACAAGCTATGGGTAAATAGCATGATAGATTAGGTTGTATAGCCTTGGTTTGCAACAAGTCTAGAAGGAAAGCTTTAAATTCAAACCTGCCTGGAGAGGGTTGCTCTTCATCAGGCTATCTTGTCCATGACAAACCACTACTGCTATGGCTGCAGTATATGTGGTGACCCTGATGGGTTACAGAACTAGTGATTGTCTATGTTAGACAGGCTCCCTAGAATGCGTTAAAATTTCTTCAGGGGCTATTTTTGATCCAGGCTGCTTAAGAGTTGTAAAAAAAAAAAAAAAACGAAATTTTCAATGAAACACAAAAACAAAATGAAAGATCAGTCAGCTAAGTATCACACATGATATACACTTGGGCAATCAGGTTTCTTTCGACCCATGACTGACTAGGCAGATGATTTTCCCCACAGTAGGGTGTTACTTCTTTGTGGTAGACTGGTTGCCAACCAAGGCTACAGAACCCAATCTGTTCTGCTATTCAACCCATAGCTGTTGGGAGGGGGAAGAAGAGATGGGTTCATACCTTCCCTAAGGGTATTTGTGTGTAAGTGAATGTAACAAACTTGACTGGAATTTGAACTCGGTTCTCCAATTTATCATTCTAAGCTGATATCCATGACACCACTCTGACACATCACAAATGAAAGAAAAAACACATTGCAGCTTGGAAGTTTATACAACTCAAGGCCATTATGACCTTGTATTTTAAGATATTTACTTTCACAATATAATATAAACAAAATTTATTTCAAAATCAATTTAGTTCTGGTTTAATATTGTATTAAAAAAAAAAAAAAAAAAAAAAGAGATTTTTTTTTTTCTTAACAAAACAATACATTTTATTTTCAATGTTAAAAAAAAAAAAAAATTGCAATACTTACTTATTATCTTCTCTTTCTTTTCGTATCTGTTTTCTCCAGGCAATCAGTCGTCTGCAAAAAGACAATGTTTAAAAAACAGGATAAAAACAAAACAAAAGGAAAATGACAAATTTTATAAGTCATCAAGAATGCAGAAGACATCTTCCAGAAATCAATTAATTTTTCACTTTTATAAGTAACTTGTAATATCACAGACAGGATAAAGTAAACAACAATACAAAAACATTAATTTACTCTAATGATTATAACATATAGACTCCCTAGCATTATGCAAAAATAGAATTAAAAAAATAAATCATGTCATATTTCAATACCAACTACATTTGAACCCGGTACACATAGGTATGGTTTCAAATTTTCCTATCATTACTCACAAGCTCTGCAAATACTCTCTCACAATTTGTTTTACTCCAGTCATGTTATGCACTAGTAAACTAATATATTTCTGGTAACAGATAATTTTATATACATGTTTCTAAAGAAACAATGAATTTTTTTTTTTAATCTAAAAGAATTAATGAATTTTATTTTTTTTTAATCTGACATTTTTATTACTTCAAACATTTTTTTTAGTGGATACAAGTATTTGAGTATCCATTTATTTTAAACAATATTTCATGTACCTGCCTGTATAAATAAAATGAATACTGTGTAAAATAGGCAGACTGTCTACTTGAATACAGATATTTAATGTTTCAAGTTACATACATATATCTATAAATACTAATGGGTCCTTAAAAATGGTTTACATAGATGGTCTACAAAATTTTAACTGAACAAAGAAACTAAACCAAGGCTATTAAAATAAGGATTCCACTAGGTTATATTAATTTTAAATTCATTACAATTTGTTCATGTAAAGCAATTTTATTGATACTCTGAAATATACAAAAATCAAGCAAAAATCATATTAAGGATCTTTTTAATGAAAGAAAAACTAATTTGGATGCTCTACCTGACATACTTTGTAAATGAGAAGCTCTTAAAGTAGACCAGATCTTTTTGCATTTTAGCCATTTTCAGAACCTTAGAAAAATCAGTCAGTTATGTACCATGTATGATACACGCTTAGGTGGTCATGTATCTTGATACATGACTGATGAGGCAGATTTTTTTACGCAGTAGTTTGCCATTTCTTTCTGCGGTAGATCAGTTGCCATCCAAGGCTATAGAACCCAGTTTGTCCTGCTATTTACCCATAGCTAGGGGAAGAAGAGAATTCATACCTTTCCCAAGAGTATTAGCACATAAGTGAATGTAATAGATTCAACTGGAATTTGAACTGCTCTACGATTCCTCAATCAGAATCCTTATCCATTACTCCACCGTGCATCCCCAAAAATACAAGTACATAAAACAGCTAAGTTGTTTATATTTCTGTAATCTACAGTAAATATTAACTATTGCCACAAATCTTTCAAATTTGTACATACAATATTCTTGGAGTTATGAATGTCAGAGGTTTGTTGACAGCCTTATTTAGTAAAAAAAAAAAATTCAGTGAAATTTCAAGATGCTCCAATATTAAAACTATTCTACATACAGATCTAATATCTGGGATTTATCAATAATTTTGATCAAGGAACCTGGTAATTTTCCAAGAGGGTTAGTTGTGGCCATTGGGTGATTCTACCATATTTGATCACAAGTACAAAGATATAAAACTTTTGATTATCAATTGAGAATATCAAGGTAAAAAAAAAGAAGATTTTAATTCATTACAATGCTTATCTTAAAGATGAAGTGTGTGAAGTATTTCATACTTTTGGAAACTTTATATGTAAAAATGCAGATCTTTTCTAATTTATTTTTTTAATTGATAAAAAAAAGTATTGAAAAATTCATGAACTGTATGTGTTGTAATTGTGTGACACTATTTAGCTATGGTAACTGGCTAACTAATTAACCATAGAAATTAAAAACAGGAAAGACTTAAGGCGAGAAAGAGCTATATCGAAAGATAGACTGATCGACGTTAAAAAAAGATTTGATTTTATTTACAAAGAAAGGTACTTTTCACACAAGACAGAAAATTCGTAAGAAAAAGCAAGATATGAGATACTATCAAAACTGATTAATGTCATGTTAAGGGAGTGACGCACCAAGGAAAACAGAATTCAGAAAGAAAAAACAAAACCAACCGACACATGCGACCATAAAAAAAATTTCGGCTTAAGACCACCACAGAGAATAGATATCAGTTATCTTTCAGAGATATCAATTTTAATTCCCGGGTCCAATGAAGAGAGCTATCTGGTGTGTGTTAGAATTCTGTCATGAGGAAGAAAATCATATTATTATTGCTTATTCAAACTGTTGACGTCAGATACAGTGTCATCGAAAATGGGCATTTGGCGATAAGAGGATTTTAAGGCATGAGAAAAATAAAGAATTTGATTCTCAGGTAAAATACGGACCTCCCAGCTGAAAGTTGACTTAGCAGAAGAAACCAGGTATCGGGTTTTGACAGTGATTGATGAGTCGGTAGAGAGACCCGACTAAGTGAATTTTGGGTGTTCCCGAAAGAAAGATGTGATAAGAATTATTTGGCAATCTGGGATTTGTACATGTTTTGAACAAACACTAGTACCCCAACCACCAGTGAATGTCACAATTGTACAGAAATGTAAATGAAGCCAACACTGGTACCCCGACTACTGCATCAGTCTGCCAATAGGCTTTGTGCTATCTACTCATACTGAAGATTTTCTGACATTTCTAAATGGCTGCCATTGCTGTGTATTACAGAGAGACTTGTAAGGAAACGCACACAATCTCTGCTGAGAAAATGGTAAATTTATGGGACACAAATTTTACCCTCCCCTCTGTCTATGATAAAGTAGGATCCATGAAACTACTACAATATTGGTTAACTCAGAATTGTGTGAGACTAATTTGTTCAGTGAACTTACAATCCCAAATAAAACCTTTTTTTTTTATAAATTTAATGTTAAATACAATAGTTTTGTTGTTTTGAAAGAAATCCTCAGAATCATGTTTGTGTGTGAGAGTGAGGTCATAGGTCAACTGGAATCTCATTGGAAGACATTTCAGCTGAAACAGTGAAACTTCATCTGTATAATAAATGTGAATGTCAGTGTGTCACACTTATTCAACTTTATGAGTAAAGGTCATAACCCAACATATCATACCATTTTAGAATCAGAGTGAATCCATGAACAAATTAAAAACATTCTGAGCTGGATCTGGACCCACAATCCAGAAATTTTGGATTCCCAAGTTTTCATAAGTATAATTGTTTTCGGTGATTTTTTTGCAACAATTGTACAATAACTTTCATAAATTGGAAATAAATTTGGGAATAATCAAAACTAATTGAGAAATCCGGCAAAAGTCAACCATGAAATAAAAATAATTGTTTGTATGGAAAGTAAAGAGCTACGTACATCAATTTTTCTTTTAGTATTGGCAGAAGAATTATTGTTGAACTTTTAAAAGGTAAGCTTAAATATTAATGCAATACCTAAATGCTGTGATTAATTTTGAGTCCTTCTGTAGTTTATTGTTGCCTATCACATCGACTCCTCCTTACTTATTGTAATGAAGGCCCAATCAAGAGATCTCCACAGGAGCTAGCTTAAATGCTGCCCAATAGGGTGGCCTTTAAGCTAGTTGTTTAATAAATCAAAACACAAGGTGCTTAATCTCCAGATTTAACCCATCTACAAGATGAACATCTTCACTTGCAGTAACCAAGACAATGGTCAGTAACCAAGACAATGGTCAGTAACCAAGATTTCGTCTGAGTGAAACATTACAACTTATACCAATATCTAGGAAGGAAATCTTCAGCTAATCACAACTTAATAGTCATTGCAGGACCACAGTTGTGTTGGAATAGATGCAATTCTTCATAATGACTGCTCAAATCTGTGACAGAGACCACTAAACTTTTGTTGAACAAAACACAACATGCAAAAAAAAAAAAAAAAAAAAAAAAAAAAAAAGAAACACAGATTTTTGAGTGACAAGCTGGTCAAGTAAAAGATACTGAATGTTCAGGGCAATCCATCACCAGCAAAAATGCCAGACAAGATGAAAGAATAATCCATGAGGACTGTCACTAAACATTCCATGAGATCTCTCAGATTGAAATCCATTAGAGGATCTACCAAGAGATCCTAATCCTGGAACTTTCTGATACCACCCTGTATCATCTAAGAGTATTTGGTGATAAGACATCACAAATAAAAGATCATTACTTTGTGCTATACAATCTAGTTGCTGCCCACAAATTTGAAATGATTGATATGCCAAATTAATCAGTATTTCACACATCTTGCCAGACAATTTACACAGATCTTGAAATCACACTACCAGAAAATTTTAAAGTAATCATTTTATTTAAATTTTGTTTTTAAGGAAGCAATTTCATGCTTTAAGTTACTAGAGCTTTTCAAAACCAGATATGCATCTCTAACCGTTTGTCGCACACACACACATATATATATATATATATATATATATATATATATATATATATAAATAAATATAAAAAGGTGTGTAAAATGAATATTACTCATAAATAAAAGTTAACTTACTTGATGTCTTTCTTGCCAAGGACTCTAATATCTTGACAGCAAGCTTTTATTTCATCTGTTGTCAGTGAGTGGTTAGCAATGGCTTCATCATCAAATTTTAACTGAAATAAATTTAAAAAAATAAAACAGTTTAGAAACATTTTAGGGCAGAAAGACCTTAGAAGGCCTAGCATAGAAATAAATACAATATGGGAGCCACTAATAATGAAAAACAAATGACAGCAAATCTTCAACAGCAGCAGCTGTAACAAAAAGAGGCTTCAGTGAATACAATCAAACATGACAATCAGCAGCAGGCAAGTTAAGTTTAAGGCTCCAAGTTCCCCAAAGAGAATAATAGCCTAGTGGATTAAAATAGTGGTTTGTGAATTTGATGAGATAGTAAGTGTGAGTTCAATCCAAATCAGGTAGTGTGTACTTGAACTTGGGAGAAACAGGGTGAGCAAGAATTGAACAGTATTAAAAATAAGAACTAGATGAGATATACCTAGACATAGGTATGGAATGAGAACAGTCTACCCTATAGATTAAATAAAAGATTCAATTCAGAATTCCCTATAGGTTACCTGGATTGAGGTTAAGTTTAGTAACTAAATGTATTAAGCCTGCTTCATGAGGCAGATGTGTATTCTCCTACCAGCACTAGGGGTTCATGTTCAAGCATAAGTAAAAATCAAGTTTTTAGATGCCGATTTTCAAAGCAATAAACTTACCCACCACTTTGGAAGAATCATGGGGAGAAACATTTTCTACTCTAGCATAAGGTGGAGTGAAAGGTAATGCAAACTAAAATATGTTTAACAAGCAAAGTTCGACCAATGTACACAAATAAAAAAATAAAGTGTCAAAAGGCCATTTTTTTTTCACTTGACATCATGATTATTGTAGGTTCCATTAGCAATTTTATTGTCTAAAAACTATTTTTATAATTTTAAGAAAACTGCTATATCTGAAACTGAATTTGTGACAATGCAACAATATTTATTATTCACCATATTATAAAGAAATAAATATAGAAGCCATATTTTTTTTTATTCATGAATTTATAAAAATTTCTGTGAAGAAGAAAATTTAAATAAACACAACTATGAGTAAATGTAATTATAAATTTTGAAAAAGTGCATTTTCTAAGAATTTTTTTCTTTTGCTACATAAATTCAATAAAATAGGTTGAGAGCAAACAAAATAAAAATAAGAAAAAAATGCATAAATTCAATTTTATATTTTGGTCCTGTTAAAAATCTAATAGCTTTTTAAAACAATAAAAAATGTCAAAGGGGCATACAGTGATAATGGTGTAAAGAGAGAGAGAGAGAGAAAAGAAAAAAACACAAACAAACCTTTAACAGTGTTTTTTTTGCAGGTATGTTTGTTAAACTTTGCCACTTAGCAACCTAATTTTTTTTAAATGAATTTCATTATGTTTTAAAAAATTATAGAAACTTTCAGTTAAGAACTGAACTCATCTTTTATCCACAAAATTCAGAAAATCTTATTTATTTAAACATTATGAAAGCTTAAAAACACCAGTGAAGATAACATCAAAATATATCTGAAAACTCAAGACATCAACCCGTTTTCCCCTGCAAACTGAAATAAGGTAAAGTGAAGCAGCAATTCGGATTAACTTATATAGCAACATTTTCTGAGCGTTTACAGACCCCAAAATAACCCACTACGTGAATCCTAATATCAAAGATGTATACTCTGCTGTGGAAGGGTTGGAATCCAACAGTATGCTTCAATGTTTAGACTTGTGCATTCTTTGTTGGCACCTAAAAGCATCCTGCAAACCTGCTCTAAACCCATATGCCTTTTCAAAATGATAGATATACTTTTTGCAATTATTGCAACACCATTAGTCACAGCAAAAATGCAAAGTTACCTTTGGTTTGGGAACACTCAAATTTCTTTTCCTTATAAATTAATACTAAATGCTTCTTCACTTTATGCCATTTCAACTTGTGAAAAGTTTCAGAGGCACATGCCAATCAAAGAGAGGGGTGGGATACTTGTCTACAAATTTGACACTTGCTTAACTTGAGAGATAGAAGCAGTGGATATTTCAATTCATGTCTAGTGTTTTGCATTTTTCCATAACCTTAAAGCAATGTCTTACATAAGGCAGGTAAAAAAAAAAAAAAAAAAAAAAAAAAAAAAAAAAAGCTTGCCTCAGAGCTGGAAGCCAGGATCTGCAAATAATTGTCATTGTTGATAAATTCAGACACATTCCTCACAAAATGTAAAGACGTGACTCCTTCAGGATAACCTTCACGGTTTCTGTAGAAGAAAAGAAGCAAAAATACTGCATAAGTACTCAATAAACGAATAAAATAATTAAAAAAAAACAGTATACACACATTCATTGTTTTATTATATTTGATATATTTTAGTTTTTTGTTTAGTTTTTTTAACAAATTCAATTGTTTGAGACACGCCTGTATTTAACAAATTACTCGGTGCCATATTACCAACTGTATTTCTGTCTCCATATCATATTTTTATAGCAATAAAGTATTTCTTAATAATTAAGGCATTTACATTTCATAATACCCATACTGTCGTACTTAACTTAGTATAGTTTAGTATAAACATAACTTTTACATGCCCTGGGAAACCAAAAAGCTCATGTAACTGAATTAATTACAATATTTACTTTTTGTGATGGTCTACGAGTAGCTTTTCAAATTCACCATGAAGGAAGAATTATTTACTAATGTCATTTTGTTTTAGCAAAATAACAACAGGGTGTGACACAATGGGTCTACACTAGATTGGCTTAGGAGACACATAATTACGTGGACTGTACATGATTTTATCTGAACCTGAAGTGTCAACAGTTTTATGACAAAAAATCAAATAGAATTATGAGAGCTTCAAACCAACGACCCATTGTCAGAAATCGGGAATTGAATGATATGAATAAATAAAAACTTTTGGGATCAAGTGCTGTTATCATTCTTTCCAGTACTGACAGAGGTTTCCTCCTTAACCATTTATTTGAAGTAAGGTGGAATGTCAACATCTTGATTATGTTGTTTCTTTTTCAAGTTGCATGTGATATCCATTTTAGTTGTTGCTGCCATTGAATGTCAAGTGATATAGTTTCTGTTATTTGATACTGTTCTTTATTTCTGATTATGTGCTGCCAGTCTACAAGATTTGATGATGGATGGTCCTCACTAAGACCTACAGGATTCATTCGCTCAAAGCTATTGCCAACCACTGATCTTAGAAAGTGGTTGTATACAGCAGACAGTTACATGCAATGGTAATAGTCAGAATTCTTTGTTGTCAAAATGAAGAGAAAATGTTTACCATCTAGAGTGAAAATACTTAAATATATATCCAAATATTTGACATAGTGGATATATATATATATATATAAATGCATGTTTTATTAAATAATATAGACAAGTTTTTTTCTATTTTAATCAAATTCCTTTCATATTGTCTGATAAGCTTAATAACATTACCATTGAAAGATGAAAGAAAATCACCATATTGATACATGTTTTTTAATCCTATTTAAGCTTTCGGCTTACATAAGCCATCATCAAAGATGACAATTACATTACAATAAATTAAACAATACATGGACATAACAACAATGATAGTCTGTTTTTGTTTGCATGGAAGATTTCCAAGCAACAACAAACTCGTGCATATGAGACACTGGAAGCGAAAATCTCACTGCGGCCCATGATATCACACATGATCACGTGAGAGTTAAAATGAGAAGTGTTAAATATACGAAGCCATTGGTATAAACCAATGGCTTCTGTTATCAATTATAGGCATTTAAGTATATTTGTGGAGTTTTCATAGTTTATTTTGTTCAGGTTAGGTTTCAACTGTTTTATGTATATAGCTTTAAGAATTTTTATTTAAAGAAATATGGTCACAGTGGTGCGCTGAGCAGTGCCTAGAATTGGTTTATGCAAATGATTTGTGTCATGCAGTGAGATTACAGATGTTTCTGGGCTCAATATAAACAGACGGATTTTCTGTTTCATCAGTCTGTGAGTTGCCAGCATTACTAGCGTATGGAATGCTGTGATTCTGATTTTCTGTTTGCTCGTCCTTGCTTTCTGTGGTTCGGTTACATTTGACCTTCGTTTGCACTGTTCCTCTGTGGAGTTCTTTATCACCTTTGCTGTGGACGTGTCTCTTTGTTTTGCTTTGTTTGTCTCCAGCACTACCGTTCATTACATTCCTCATTAGTGTTCCAGCAGAAGAAGAAAAAAAAAAACAAACCTTCACTCCTCTAGTTTGGAATTGTTACACTTCTACATACCTTTCACAGATATTTTTCCTTATATGGTTGTTTTCCTCAATTTTTTTCCCTTCCTTCACATGCCCTGTTTTCTTGCTCCCCACCAAATCTTTTTCTATTACTATGCACATTTTTTGGTCAGAAAGCTTAAATGATTCCAGAAGAGTTGGCAATCAAGCAAATTCTAATCTCTAGTCCAAGATGTGAATAACAACTGCAGGGGGACTAATTTTCTGTGATCAAGGAATCAGACAGAATAACAGAACTGCAAATCTCAAGCAGAATCTTTTTCTTTCTTTTTTTTTTTTTTCATAATTTTCAATAATAACAAATTAATCATCATGCATTCTTTCAAATTCTTTTCATTTATTCTTTCAAAATTTAACAACCCCACAATTCTGAGATTTTGTTATTAAAAATGTAAACATACAAAACTAGCTATGTTCTTAAAATTTGCTTTTACAAATACGTGTTCCCCTACTCAAAAAAAAATACACAAACAAAATTAAAAATAGGTTTTAGATTAACTACATTTTTAAAATAAAGATGGTCACTGACTTTCAGAGAAAAGTTTTAACTAGCAATAAACAGAACCATTTTTAAATCTTTTATAATTGTCAAAGACACTGGTAGTGCTGTAGCTGATGAACCAGAATTGTAGGACTGTAGTTTACTGCTATTGCGAATGTGAAACTGCCATAGTCTCAGATAATGGTACACAATTACAAATTTAAAGAATTTATTAAAATGTTCACGATTGAACATATTACTACCCCACTGTATCACCCAATGTCAAACAGATAAGCTGAAAAGTTTGTGGGTACTTTTAAGAGAGCTCTGAAGAAAGCACATAATGAAAAAGTGGATGAAGAAGCACTACAGAAATTCTTGAGAGTATACCAGATAACGCCGAATCCCAATATACTGGCATAATTGATGTTAGCAACAAAAATTAAATCAGTGTCCAACAAGTTGTTACAAGGTCAAAAAAGAATGAAATACTAAAAAATAAAATATTTACTAGAGAGAAAGAGAGAGAGAAAAGAAACCACACACCCATACCCAAAAAAGAGGATGTTGTGGAGTAAATAAGACACTCCGGTAACACAAATGAACTAGGCTTTAAATAAAGGACTCAAAGTGCTATACTAATGCAAATCATTTGGTTGTACTGTAAAAAAGATACAAAATATTTTGTGTGAAATTGTTCGCAAAGAATCTTTGCAATTCATTTCTTTCAATTTGAAAGAAAAATAATACCCAAATAAAAATTTATTGAAATCTGTTGAGCTGTGTTTGAAGATTCACTTATTTCTTCACTTTTACACACATGAACTGCTACAGGAACAAATCAGGTAACGTGTATTGGTGTAGAAATTGGAAGTAACAATAGGAAAATTTAGATTTCACTGAACATGAAAATAGAATTAAGAAAAAATATAGAAACTCGCATAACTTGTAAACTAAAAAAGAAAGCAATTGAGATTTATATCCTTATTGGTCACTTATATCTAGCAAAAGATTTAAAACAGTTATTACATACCTTTGCTTTTGTTCAGGTTTAAAAGCATTGATGCTCATCTGTACTTCCTCTTCCACTTCTTTGAACACATATTTGGGATCAAGAAACTTTGAATCCAATTTGTCTGGGGCCAAATAATTCTCACAAACCACAAAGATTTCAGCAGATTCATTTCTTGAGGCTTGGGGTTTAGTCGCATGCACCTTCTTGAACAATTGGTGGAAGACCCACAGCAGGGAATTGTAATCTTTTGAACGGAAAATTTTTGTCACAAACCAACCACCTTTTCGCAGAACTCCAGTGGCTAATTTTAAAGCAGATAACGTCAACTGGGCTGAAAAAAAAAAAAAAAAAAAAAAAAAAAAAAAGAGAAGGTAGTAAGAGTCTTTGTTAAAATTAAGACAAAATTTGACTTATTTCTCTGGAAATAATTAATTTGTTTTTCTCTTTCAGATGAAAACCAGACACTTTTGATTGAACTTTGGCTCCCCACAAGCCTAAATATGATCAGAAGAGAGGAGAGGTTTATTTCAAAATAAAGTTTTAACACTCAAGGATATCATATTTAGAAGAATTTAGTTTAGAAAGATTTTGTTATCAAAGAGACTAAAAGGTATTCTAACTCATGACTTTTACTACAAATCAACTACAAGTACTAGAAGCAATGCTGTTAATATTTAAATCATTTATAACAATTATCAGAAAATATTTGATAACAACAATAGTAAATTCCATTTAAACAAAAGGTATTGATTTATCCAATCCAGCTTTGGGAGAGGGAAGAGGAGAAAAAAAAAAAACGGAAACAAAATATCAATGGAGATATGGCTATGTAAGAAAGCATACATGCACGCACATATACTTGCATGTATGTATCAATATATTTCTACCTCAGGTGTTATAAATACAGTGCTCAATGTTATGTGACAGAGCTATAAGTATATATTAGTGAATATACATAATATCCAATGTTGATAGCATGACTCAGCTGTGCTATCGAATGTTGGATATTATTTATATTTTCACACCTACACACACAAAAAGAAAGATTTTTCCCAATTATATGTACTTGAGCACAAATATATGCCTTCCATTTAATAAAAAAAACAAAAAACAAAACAGAGGGGGTTAATGGGAGATAACCACGGATTTCAAGTCAGAACATTATCATTCATAACTCTCTCCTCCAATTTGCTGACCTAGTTACTATATTCTTAATACTTGATATAATGCAAAAATATCACAATGATACAATTGGTCAATATTTATAACTATTTATACTGGAACTCACGCATGCAATTTCAAGTAATCCATAATAATTTAAATTTTGGAATCATATTTATTTTTGGCATATGAATTTTTTAAACCGTTTCAAAATCTTTGATTATCTTTCAATCTGCCCTATCTGCTTTTTATTTTTAAATGTACTTTTTACCACATAAAATCTGGCCAAGTGCAAGCAAATTTTTTTTTTTCCCAAAAAATGCAACCCAGAGAAAAAAAGTTAGGGAACCACTGATCTAGGCTGTTTTGGCAAGATCATTAAACTGGCAAAGCTTTAGAACTATGGTTGGCAGAAAATGTGTAGAGTACTGTCCAAATTTTAAACTTACCTTGTTGAAAAGCATCATGGACCCAGGATTTACCAACATTTGGTGCACCATCATTAAGGACAGCATCAGCCTGCCATGTTTGCAATTCCTTCTTGATTGCCTGTGAAAAAAAAATTAGATAAATTCTAAAGGCTGAAATATCTTCTAACACCACAAAAAAAAAAAAAAAAAAAATGAACCAAAATCAGTTTCTCAGTCTCAGAACTAATAAAAGGAATAAGAAAAAGAAATAGTTATGGAAGAGGGTTTCATTTTCCATTCTCTATTAAAACACTTTATAGAGTAATTGACAATGGTTAAATGGAATTGGTAGAAATGCCCAATAAACAAAATTGTTGACAAAGTTTACAATAAACAGGAGAGAGAAAAGAACAGGGATAATATTGAGCAAACATTATATACAAGGCAAAAATTTCATAAACTAAGAATGGTGTTAACACACAAAAATAGATACAGATAAATGACTGCATCATTCTGATTTCAAGAAGAGAAAGAACAGAAATTATTTCTTATTTCACTATGATACGATAAAAGTGAGTGAGATAGAGAAGTGGCCTGTCTTATTGGCTAGGAAGAAATCCCAGCATGCATCAGTACGTTTTGTCTATAAATTTGGAAAGGTGATGATTTTCAGTCATTCCAATCAAAATTGAAACCATCACACTTTCTAGATATTTAAATTTATCGATACATTAAAAAGATAAGCTGATTTGATTGATACTTTTGCCTGTAACTTGGATATTAATGTACTTGCTATATCAAAAGAATGATCATAAAAACACAGATTCATATTTAATACAACCGTCAATAGAAGCATTCAATTGTTCAGTGTCTGCCAAAAAAAAAAAAAGAAGGTTAATCCAACTGTTGCTCTTAGATGACATTCTACAAGCTTTCTTTGTTAGAGAACATTCAGCTTCTTCATTTTGATTGTGGATAGCTTCATATACTACTAAATGGGTTCATATCTAATGATTGCCTATGGCAGAATTTGATTTCAACTTTCTCATCCAATCTCATCCTCATCAACTACTGTGGCATACAAAAGATATTTCTTTTGGTCAAGATAAGACAGACGACAGAGAAGTGAATCCATTGTTTTCAAGTGTATGCTAAACAAAGAAAAACCACTTCAAATAAACCTTTCAGATTCTATCACACACCTCCAACACAAACAAAACACACAGTCATATGAGAAAGTGGAAAAATACACCAACATGTGCAGTTAAGACTGAAACTGTAGATAAATCTTGCAAAATATGATTATTTTCAAATATTTTGTGTCCATATTCATTGCAGATTTGAAATGAACAATACAAAAAGGTTTTCAAATTTTCACTTAAGTTCCTCTCTTCTTTTAAAGCAGTGGTCAGCAACTCATTCAACCCCGCTGGCCGGATCGTGTTATAATGACGGGTCGCGGGCCAGATGAAGGCCATTAATGAAAAATTAAGGAAAATTACATATGCAGACCCCCTGTCAACCTAAATATTTAAAACCATAATGAAAATAAACATTGGGAAATCAGAAAAACAAAAGAAAATCTAAAATTAAAAAACACCTAACAAAAATTACTTTTCCTCAAGGACCGTCAAAATACTTCAAAGTGAAAAAAATCAACTGAAGAGAAATGGATGAAATTATGATGTGTAGGTTTGAAACTGTTATTGAAAATTGTTCCACAAACAAACCACACACACATCAAGCAAAAACAAAACACATATACCCATACATACAAGTACAAATAGTTGCAAACATATACAGTTACATACGTACACATGAGGTATCATCCACATTCATGAGGCATGTATGTATAATGCGCGTATGTTTAACTGTCTTTAGATTTCTGCTACCTCGCATGTCAGTCCCTCCTTGGCCTCTTTCACTTTATCGTTCCTTTTGCCTCCGTTATCTTTCAATGTAGCCAAGGGTCATAACAAATATGTATCCATTATTTGATATTAAACGTAGGCAAAGCAACTTGGTAAAATAAGTCTCATGAAAGATAACTGGCAGATAGTCTAATATTTTTAGTGCACTGAGATTTGTAGACATTCTATGGAAAATGACATATAACAAATTTCATTTGAAGGTCATCTCTCATGTTAAAAATAGTCATTGGTAATCAGGCTCACAGCCTGGTCAAAATGTCTTCGCAGGCCGGATCCGGCCCGCAGGCCGTAGGTTGCTGACGCTTGTTTTAAAGCATAAAAAATAAGATTGATACTGTAAATGCAGTATTGTACTCTTCAAGAGTGAAATTAAATAGAAAGTAACATTTGCAATCAGTCATCATGACAAAGATTAAAGAACTTACTGAAAAAACTCAGGTTAAAGATTATAACTGCTCACAATGAGGAGAAAAGGCTACAAAGCCATATCCAAGCAATTTCAAGTGTCAGTTCAAAAAATTATCAAGAAATTCAATAATGTCCTCATTGGAAAAAACCAGGAGGAGGAAGGAATCTCAAAGTATCATATAGTGTGGTAAGAAAAGTCTTCAGATGTCAAGAGACACATGAAGATCCCCATCAAAGATATTTTGGCCAATTTGAATGGCTGGCATCAAAATATCTCAGCAGTTGAATAACGATAGAGAGATTAATATGTAAGACTAATGCTTCAAGCTCTGCATATAAAAACTCATTTGGATTTTGCTAAGAATCATATCAACAAAGATTCAAGCTTTGATCATCAATTATTTGGTCAGATGAAACAAAAATTGAGTTTCTTGGACACAGAAATGCTGCTTTGTTTGACAGTGAAGCTTTCAAACCAAGGAACATGGTCTCAATAGTCAAGCATGGTGGTCAAAGCAGTATTAGGTTATGGGATATGTTTTTCAGCCAATGGGATTGGTAGCTTGGTTAAAGTGGATGGGACGATAAATAAAGAACAGTATATTTATATTTTGGATCAAAACATTAACCAATCTGCTGAAAAACATGGGCTAGAAAATCAGTGGACAGTTCAACAAGACAATGAGTCAAAGCACATGTCCCAGTTGGGAAAATAATTGTTCATGGACAATAATAGAAACATCTTGGAGTGGCCAAGTCAGAGTCCAGACGTTAAACCAATTAAGAATTTGTGGAAAGAGAGCCAAAGGCATGAATAATGACAAGTAAGCCTTTGATTCTAAAGGACCTGGAAACATTAGCAAAAGTGATGCGAGTCAAAATCTGTTACAACATATGAGAATCTAGTGATGAAGTATGGAATCCAGTTACAAACTGTGATAGTTAATTAAAGATTTGTAATTAATTATCAATGATTAGCAGCATGGACTGGCGTTGCCTGTGCTTGATTCAAAAATCGTACAACTCATACAGCAATCGCTATCACTTGACTTAAAATATTTTTGCCCTTCCTTGCCTTTAAAGGAGTGCCCTTTGCAAGGCTGATGTTGCTACATGCCTTACTTCTTGCCTATCTCACACTGCAAATTTTTTCTAAGATAAACATTAAATCTGTTACGAAAAAAGAACTAAACAAAATGAACACAAAACGAACAGCTTTAAAAAAGGACTCATAACTTGAAAAAAGAATGTTAACAAATACTTTTTCACACCCAACCCAGTTCTGCGGAATCAGAATCAACAGCATGCAAATGAGCCAATTGGAGTAAAGTGCCATGCAGATTTAAATTTTCCCACTTGTGACGAATGCAGCTATCGATTTTTTTTGTATGCTAGCATGCTAGTTAACATTCATGTCAGTCAGCTGTTGGCTCTCACGCTGGCCAATAGAATCTTCCTGCCTATTCGTGGCAGCCATCTATAGGCTCTCACTCTGGCCAGTAAAAAATGGCCACAAACTACATGAAAACTGCCGTAGAAGCATGAAAAAAATCGATTATTTCCACTATCGATGGGAGTTGGGAAATGCAAAGTCGGTCTTGACCTTCCCGCTAACTTGGAGCGTGTGCATGTAAATTTTGGTGCAAATCCATCGAAAATTGCGGCCGTGCACTCGTTACACACACACACACCCATCCTGCCTTTTATAGATAGAGATTATGACCCTGCTTTGGGGATCAAATTGTAAATAATATTTCAATTTAGTTTTTCCTCCATATTCCTTGTATATGCTTTCTTTTGTTCTTTTCTATATTTCAATTCGGGTTGAAAAAAAGAAAAAAAAAAAAAAGAAAGAATTCCATTAGTGAAAATATTAAAAAAAAAAAAAAAATGTAAAAAAATAAAAACATAAATTTTGCGGGGGGGGGGGGGAATTACTGAATATAGTATAAATCTGAAAAATTTAGTATTTCATTTCAGAGATAAGTAATTGCCAATATATTTGTATTATTTCTAACTATTTTTCTAATCTTTGTTCATATGGATTTAATTTTAATATTTTACAACTATTTTTAAAAATAAACCACAAAGATGTAAAAGAAACAACATTGTCTTGTCAATAGTCTTTTTTCTTTTACAATTATTTTAAACTTTTAAAGAGTGAAATTCACAAAAAAACGTCATTAAAACTTTTGTCATAGAAAGTTAATTTAAATTTTTTCTTTGTTATTATTCTTCATCATAATGAATATTTTGATTATAAAATTCATTTTTTGATGAATTTGTGTTTTCTTTATAATACAAAAAGCACTGTCTTGTAAGAAAACAGAAAAAAAAATGTAATTTTTTTTTTTTTTACACTGCTAATTTACCTTTTCTTCTATACAGAAATTTGCCCATTTGAATAAAAATTTAATTTAATATTTTGTCTGTGATATTATTCTTCAACAGCAAATGTATTGACTTAAAAATTAAAAAAAAAAAAAAAATATTTATTGGTATTTAAAAAATGTATGTAGAATTTTACAACATTGTTGTTAAAAATGTAAAACAAAATTAACCAGTTTAATATTTTTACGGTAAATTTAAATCAAAATATACTGTAAAAATATTAAAATGGTTAATTTTTTTTTTTTTTTAGGTAATCGTATTTTATGGGGGAGGAGGTAAAAGCAAAAAGATGACAGTAAAATGGGAAATTGTAAAAGGTCTTTTTGAGTATGAAAAAACTCAATTTGTTAAGCTGTCAAAACTAACTAATGTAGCAGTTTACCCAAAACCTGTTGAGCAACAAAATGTTTCCCATTGTTTAAAAGTTTTGTTATTTTTGTGATCAAACTGTAGCTGCCATTAAAACATACCCATCATTAGATTGGGGGGGGGGGGATACTGCATGAACAGATAAAAAAAATATCAGATTTAGATGAACATCTATTATTTCTTTCTAATTTCGGGAAAATGACAAAAAGAATGGAACGAAAGCAAGGAAAAAGTATGAAATCATTAACAAGAGATACTAGTTCAGCAATTGAACATACATGCAATGACTTAAATTATGCGTACAGATATTTGTTAACAATGGGTTTAATTTTTTTATGTTTGGTCAATTTACCACAGAATATTTGGAAAATTAAGACAAAGTTCTGAAGGTGCATATTTTATAACAGTTCAAAATACTATTGAAAAATTTCATATTGAAAAAAAAAAAAAAAAAAAACTAAACTACTTCATAAATTAAATGTTGATGTCAAACACAACTTTGATCCCTGCCATAATTGTTCAAAATGTGGACATTTGCTGGATGAAATTGAATGCCAAACATTTGATAACTTACCAGACCTTGAAACTAGGATCTCTAAAAATATTAAAAATGTCACTTTTGTATATAGCAAGCTATGTTACAAGAAAAGATTGTCCAACAGAAGAGGAAATATTTAATAATATTAGTTTTTATTTTCAAGAATATGGACATTTTTTGAAAGAAATTCCACTGGATCCCACAATTCAGTGAGCGTTTTGCCATTTTATAAATGCTTGGTGTTGTTAAATTGAAGAAAATTCTTTGAGAAAAATCTTTGTTAGTTTCCGATATGTATTATTTCAATATAAAGAGAGAGAGCACGGGATTGTATTGTCAAATATATTTTTTTTAAATTATTGCCTGTTTGATTCACCCAAGACAACTAAAGAACTGGCATTAAAAGTTTTGAAATTATCTTAAAATTTTATTTATAAAGATAAAAATATTTATAAAATTTTCTTTAACACAATCAGTATTAAAAATTCATATCTTTTCTTGTAGTAAAAATATGTACATATTTATTCTTTCAGAGAAATATTTACCAGATATGTTTTATTTTCAATAACCCCCCCCCCCACTTTACATATATTTAATTGGTTAACTCCCCAAATTATTCTATTAATTAATTTTGTGTTCTTGTTAATGTAAATTGATTTTAATTATAAAAACTATGTATACTGGTAATATCTTTTATAGTGAAATAAGTATTTTCTTCATCTTCTGTGAAACAAATTGTACATGTAACAAAGATTACAATAAATTTTATAAAGAGCATCAAATTATTTTTTTGTTGAAATTCACATTTTTGTAACGTATTTTCAGGCTTTGTTGATACACGATTTTGTAAAATGTTGAAATTGCTTTCTGATTGTATTATACAATTTTATATTTTCTGTAATCAATTGATAAAAACAAATTAACTCATTATTTTTGCAATATCATCTAAAAATGTGTCTAATTTATGGTGAATAAAGTGATTTTTGTGCATTTAGTTATTTTATAGTAGAGGAGGTTATTTTTGTTCTTTCTTTGTACATTTGCATTTATGGAAATAAGTCAATAATTTTAAGCCACTTTCTAATACATATATTTTCTAATTAACTAATTACTAGACATTACTAACAAGTTCCTTGATAAAAATATTCTCTGAAATTGTTATTTAGTAGTAATTTAGGTCTCCACATGTCCACCCCCAGTCATGGACCCCAGTTGCATGGTTACCAGGCCTGAGTTATGGATTGCCTTGACTAAAACCAAATGACCAGCAAGATCACTCCACATCGTACACATTACAAAAAAAAAAAAAAAAAAATTGTTTTTTAAATTTCTGTATTATTTTTATTGGGAAAAAGTCACCTTTAACATTTATAAGAAAAGTTCAGCATGATACATAAACAATTAGTGTTCAAAATTAGGCAATATAATTTTTCATTCATCTTTCTAAATAGGGTTTTTACATCATTAATCCAACAGAAAATAAAGTTATCTTTGATTCAGGCTTTAAATGTTTCACTATCATGACACCAGTTCTTACCTGCCTGCAACTTTCAGTTGTGATGTCATTCTGCAAACAAATTGTTTTAGGAATCGGTCGAATAGGAACAAGATCAACACCTGAAAGAGAAAATAAGGATAATTTGAGATTCTGAATTTTACAAAATATACAGGCAAGAGTCTAAGACATTGATTTGAAAATCACATAAGCATGTAAAAGGTATTGTGGATTCTTATCTTAAATGCTAAGAATATGAAATTATATAATTTGATAACAATATGTCACCATCTATCAACAGCCATTATGGAATATATGGATTAAATAACATCAATCATTACATGGATTACTGATAACTCTTTTTTTTGTTCATTTTCAATGCACAACATATTGACTGAAGGCCAAAAACTGCTAAAATTTTAGGTCAAACTTTACAAATGTTGATAGTTAATTTATTAGTCTCTCCAGCAACCACCTGAATATTTAATCCATTAGCATAGAAAAATTAAGTAAAGCTAAGCAGAGGAGGAGTGATAGAGTAGGGGTTAAGTCAGTGGGCAGCGATAAGAAAAACTTAAATCCTGCCAATGTATAAAAAAGTTGACCATAGTAGAGATCATAGAATCAATGCGAACGATCCTTCCTTAACTGCATAGTATGTGCTTCTCCAGGACCATATACAATTTTCAGAGTTTTCTTTCTCTATAGGCTATAGAACCCAGCCTGTCACACTATTTACCCAAATCTTGGGAGTGGGAGGGAGAAAAGAGTTGGCGTCATACCTTCCCAATGGTATTAGCATGTAAGTGAATGTAATGAACTTGACTTGGCTCTCTAATTCCTCAGTTAAAACCACAATCCATTACTCTACCACATTCAAATGCAGTCAATGTTAAAATATTATTATCATTACATTTTCACTTTATGAATAGAATTTATTGCCACTATACATGTAATGATTAGAGTGAAGAAAAGTTTTTATATATTTACTTAATAAATACTTTTCATGATCCAGAATATGATATTATGGGTCACAGTTTCTTTTTATTTTAAACTATGTCCCTTCAGGAATTACCATCTCTCTCCATAGATTCTTTTTTCTTTATCATCTTTTCATTTATTCATTAAAATCATCATTTCACTCCAGGAAGGGCAAAAAGCCACTAAGGTGCAAGGGGTTAACAAGAATGAAACTGATAAAAATGTTACTGAGAAGAAAGGACAATAAAAAGAATAGATTACAAGTTGAGAGAAAATGACAATTGCCTAAGCAAGACGCAAGAAGGGTTTCACAGGCGAGAAGTGCAAAAGAAAATATCAGAATCAAACTTAGTTTCACTTAACAATTTCGATAGTAAAATGAGGAAACCCTGCTGTCAATCTAGTATTGTACTTAAATTCATGAAGTCAAAATACCAAAGAGGTAAGCTCATCGGAACAACTGCTATTAAAATATTTATAGGGAAGGCACAGGAAACTTACATGACAGTAGGGGGGAAAGTGATTTAAACCTGAATGCCAACAATATTATAAATTCTTTGGATTTTGCCAAGAATCTATAGATACACAGCAGAAGTACCAGACCAGATGTGGTAACAATATTCAATGCATGGACAAATGGCAGAGTTATAAAGGTGTAAGACTGATTTGGGTGAGAAAAAGTACAGCACAGTGAACCAATTTTCTTAGCAGCAGACTTTGCACAACTAGTACATATAGAAAAATAATAAAAGTTGAGAGAAAAAAAAAAAAAAAGATGCATATAAATAAAATGGTAAAATGAAATAATTACTTGTAAGGAAGCAAACCCCACATCCAAATCTATATTAGAAAAGACTGTCTCTTATACACTGTCTGCAATGTACCTGCAAGCACAAATAAATTGAAATAATACATTCTGGCCTGGACAACCACTATCCTGAGCTGATTAACATGAAATTGGAGACAAAGTTACTTTTATAAACCCTATTCTCTACTCTATTCACTATACTATTTCTCTATATGGATTACTATTTGAACAAGTACCATTAGCGTGTGTGCTATTCGAAGGCGCCTGACACCAGCATTGTTCAATGGTGTAGTATAGTTGTATCTGCGATTACAAAGTCTCTACTACAACGAGCATTACAAAAGTGATAACAAGTATTTGTTGGCATTACAAGAAGTGGCAACAAGTGTTCATTGACATCACAAAACTGTCCCTCAAGCACTTTGTCCTAGAACTAATCGATATAAAATCTTGCCCTCAGGGTAACAAATCAAACAAGTAGTACCCTGGCTGTAGGCTGTTGTTCATAGTTTTCTGCTCTGCTGCAACAACTAGAATTAGAACTGTCCTCTAAGGAAGGCAGTAAGCAGCCACTTATTTTCTGAATAATATTTATTATACTTTAGAAGATTCTCTTGTCCACTTCTGAGCAGCCAGCATACCAAACATGGATGATGCAATATGCTAGCACACTCATAAATAGAGCAGTGGTAGGTCATCAGCAGCTCCCTTTTTAAATGTCCACATTATGTAAACAATCCCTGATATTGAGCACTCTTCCCTTATAAATGTAGTTAATTTGAAACTATATCTTTATGCATAAATTATAAATACACAGACACACATTGTATGTGCACATGTATATCTATATACATATGCATGTGGGTGCGTATGTGTAAATGTATGAATACAGGCATATGCATACATTTTTCAAATAATAAAAAAATTTTTAATTATAAGCTTAACCTCCTATTATTAATAATATGCTAATAGTATATAAGATACCACCAAATCAAATAAGAAAAGCGAAATAATAGCCAAGTGAAGACATACGGAAATGAAATACAATTTTCTTAACTCAAGAAAAGACGAGAACGCTTAGAAAATAAAAACTGCAGCCTGTCTGGAAAAATAGGAAGCCAAATGGCAACAAATGGAGGGAAAAAAAAAAAAAAAGATACACATATGCCCATCCATGCACATGGGCACAAGCGCACACATATGCCATGGAAAGAAAAAAAACAAAAAACAAAGTATTGCTGATGATACCCACGGATTGGACAGACAGGTACATCTACAAAATTCTGGAGTCAGGATGCTAAAGGTAAAAACTAACCAGATAAGTGACAAACCTCTTACTCACACACATCATAAATATTATCTGTCATTGCTAGCACAAATCAGAGTTTTATGCACAGTCTAATCTTCAGGTGCTGAGTACGGACTGACCATTACATAATTTGAATTAAAAAAAAAAAAAAAAAAAACCTGGCTATCGCAATGCTAGCAGTTATATATTATACTGGGATTATAGGGTTATAATTTTTCAAAATTATATTTGGCAATCAAAATGAATGGGGCATGTAAAAAAAAAAAAAAATTTTTTTCAATTCATTTTTTAGTTGTGAATATTAATTTTTTAATTAAAAGGGAGTTTACTTGTTCTTATTAAAAAAAAAAAATAGTAATTTACATTAAAAATTAATCTGGATCAATGTATTTAAGCAGATATTTATATTTATGCCTACATGTAACCATCAATTCCTTTCTCTTGTTTAATAAGCTTGGGTTATTTAAGTGTTTTAACATACCCAGTTTTTCAACAAGACATAAATTACATCTATTTCCTTTTCAGTTATAAGATTTGGCTCTTGCTATAATATCCCAGTATTTTTTAGTTGCCAGAAATATTTAGAGAGTGCAGTGCTGTTTCTGTATCTTATATTACCTAAAGTCATTCAATGATGATAAAAAACAAAATTTCCAAGGATTTTCAGTGGAATCAGAATAAAATTTAACATAGTTACCGGAACATATGCTTGCTCGGTATACAATATTATTGTTCATACATTGACTGTTTAAGGGATAGATCATTTTTTTGGCAGTTGCATTTATTTTTAGAAAAATTTACAATGTCTTTGTTTGAAATATATTTGTTTAATATAATGTCGTTATGGTGAAAAATGGATTTGTCTATGTTATCAACATAGCTATTGCTGATTTTTTAACATTATTTTTGTTAAAAATCTTTTTTTTTTGGTGTTAGTAAATGGTTAAAGTGCCCATGAATTAAATTTAGGAAAATTCTTCTGACATTATGGACCATTAGGGTGGATTAAACCATAAAATGTTGCGTTTACAGTGTTTCTGTTTATTTATACTTTCTTTGTTTTTTTCTAAATACTCTAAATTAGGTACCTCTATTTATTTCGCGAAAATCTAATATAGCATGACAAGAACGGTCTGAAAATTAACGAAAAAAATTTTTTTCATGATAAAAAGTATATTTCATTATTGAGAAGAAACACTAAAGTATTTTTTGAGTAATTTTTGAAATTTTTACTCATTCTTAGCATGTCCGAAATTTTAGTTAAAAAAACTTGTTTACAGAAAAAACGAAAAAAGCTCTATATCAGCCATATTTTTAAAAATTTTAAAAATAAGTTAAATTCTTCGTTTAAAATTCGTTTAAAAATTAATTATACGTATTTCAATATTTATTCGAAGAAATTTAGAAAATTTGAAGTTTATTTAAAATATTTTGAAAGAAACTTTTACTTACTTTCTTCAGAAAAAATGTTTTTAAAGATAAAAGAGCCGATCTTCACGTTGCCGTTGATTGACAGAGTGACGAGTGATGACATCTATAAATTATTGACAGCTGACGTGAGATTCGAGTTCCCATACGGAAGCACAGAATGGACATATTTTTTTAAGCGGACATACTTAAGTAGTAACTTGTAATATTTAAAGTAAAAAAACTTTCGCCATTACAATTTTTTTTTTTTTTTGTTAACTACTATGTACCATAAGTTTGTTGATACTATCTGGAGAAATTATAAATACTATTAAAAAAATTAAAATACAAGTGCTGCACTGCTGTTTGAGGGCCCATATAGACCCCTCTAAAGTCAATTCAGATTTGCTATTATAAAAAAAAATTCTATCCCCAGTAAAAATAATCAAACATAGTAAAAGTCATTTTGTCACAGCCTATATTCTCGGAAAAAATAAATAAATGGATTCTTATATTTTTATGTAATAAAAAATTACTTATCTGGAAAAATACCAGGTAAAGTTTATCTGAATCCCATGAAACTAGGTATTTTCTGAAAGCAAACAATATGTTTCATTTAAAAGTAAAATTGGCCAGTGTAAATGACTGAAAAGTTTTTAGTTTTCTAGAGGCAAAATGTGAATCTTACTTATTATAAAACCCAGGTTGTGTGTGTTACGTTTATTGGATCGAATTTCCTACATTTTCCAACCAATTTCAACCAAACATTACAGGACTACGATGAAAACTAGATGAAAGTACCTATTTTAACTTAATGAAAATGATGCACACGTGTTTCAGCAGGAACAGTTTGCTAAATTAAGGGGCCGTATACAGCGAAGAACAACCCTTACTAGACAGAAACTCAATCCACGTGACGTTATTTTTATTGCACGCACCAATCTTCCGATCTTACGTAGATTTCATTGGTAAACACATTATTGACAAATTATTTTTTTTAATATACGAAGACTCATTAGTTTGTAATAAGCTTTGGAAATTATAATCTGTAAATATATATCTACTTAAAAACAACATCCGTTAAGCTGTACGCGCTTTTCCATAATTTTAGAAGAATTAACAACATAATGTAAAAATAAAAACAATGGTTGCGGAAATAAAAAATAATTGTAGGTAATTGTTTTAAAAATTCATTTTTCATCGAAATATCTTTTTGCTTTCAGACAATATTGTCCATGTTTATTGGAATAAATAAAAGCAATTAAAAGCTTTTGAAATTAAATAATATTTTTGTTTTATTGAGTTTTTGTATGTTACACTTCAGAGACGATTTTCAGGTAGAAGGGCTCCAACTAAAAAAAAACAAAAACATGATTTTGTTTCCTCAAAGCATTGTGCTTTTAACTGATATAATCACTAAACTCCTCGGAATTGAAATTATAGAGTTTTTGTACAATTAGTTAGAGTGGGTAAATACATATAAAAAAAAAAAATTTCTGCGATGACTTTACTAAAAAAAAAAATGTATTTATAATAAGTTCCATCATTTGTAAATAGTTTCTGAAAATTTCATTAAAATCCGACAATTATTTTCATTTTTGCAAGATTTTCCAAATTAATGTGTGTCAAACGGGAAAAAAACGCGCTAAAATGTTTATACGTTAATTTATCAGCCAAGCTGATAAAAAGAGAAACAAGGTCTTTTAATCAAAATTTACAATGTTCTAAAAAAGAAGGAAAAATTTAAAAAAATAAGTAAAAAATACTTTGATCTTTCCTCTAAAAAGTAACATAAGCATTTAGACGCGAAAATTTTGTTTTCATCAACTTTGGCGTCTTTTTAATCATGCTATGCTCTTTTTTTTAGCGATCCAACAGAGATACCTACTCTAAATTTATATTATGATTGCTTAGTTCTAAAGCTTCTGTACATTTAATTTTAATCTTGTCAAATATTTCCTTATTGTTGGAGTTGATACATAATCTAATTTGGACCAATCTATGTAAATTATCTAGAATTTTGTGGTGGTTTGAATCTTTTGTATATGGTTTATAGTAATCATTATTCAGGTCTAAAGTCACATCAAGAAAGTCGATCACTTTAGCATTAGTGGAGGTGGTGATCTTTAGTTTGTCATAAAAATTTTATCAGTTCCTTTCTCAATTGGTCTATATTTTGTGGGCTAGTTATACAGAGGAAAATTACAGTCATATCTATAGAGTCCAGTGTCCTTGTGTTGGAAATAAAAATCTGAATCACCATAATAGTATTCCAAGAATTTTGCATGCCACCACTGAATCATACACTCGCATAGCAATATTAAATTCTGGGTTACTTCTTTTGGTCCACAGATAACCATTATAGAATAGTAGAGGTCTTTGTGCCTGCTTTATGATATTTATTTTGCAATTGCTAATAGGACAGTAATTTTTTGCTAGACTTATAGCCAACATTTGTAAATTTTTGGTGATGGATGGGTAAAAGTCACAAATATCAAATTGTATATCTATTCTTCCTTTTTATGTTAGAAAACCATTGTATGGCTTCAGCTGTTTTGTACCTCTTGTTGATTTCTCGAGCATTTTTTGTGTATTTACATGCTCTTTCAAGGATGTTTTTGCTGATTTTTACAGATATTATTTTTAGTTGAGTTGAGTAATCGGTATTGAGGGTTGTTTAGAAAAACTAACCTATGACCATTTAACTGTGATATATGGCTTTACATTCCGTTTAGGTAACTCTGTGAGATCGCTAAAAACAGAGCATAGCATGATGAAAAAGACGCCAAAGTTGATGAAAACAAAATTTTAGTGTCTAAATGCTTATGTTATTATTGAGAGGAAAGATCAAAGTATTTTTTACTTATTCTTAAAATTTTTTCCTTCTTTTTTTTAGAACATTGTAAATTTTTATTAAAAAACCTTGTTTCTCTTTTTATCAGGTTGGCTGATAAAATAACATATAAAAATTTTTGTGCCTTTTTTCCTGTTTGACACACATTAATTTGGAAAATCTTGCAAAAATAAAAATAATTGTCGGATTTTAATGAAACTTTCAGAAACTATTCACAAATGATGGAACTTATTAGAAATATTTTTTTTTTAGTAAAGTCATTGCAGAATTTTTTTTTTTCATATGTAATACCCCCCCCCTAACTAATTGTACGAAAACTCTATAATTTCAATTTTGAGGAGTTTAGTGATTATATTAGTTAAAAGCACAGTGCTTTGAGGAAACAAAATCATGTTTTTGTTTTTTTTTAGTTGGAGCCCCTCTACCTGAAAATCATCTCTGAAGTGTAACATACAAAACTCAATAAAACAAAAATATTATTTAATTTCAAAAGCTTTTATTTGCTTTTATTTATTCCAATAAACATGGACAATATTGTCTGAAAGCAAAAAGATATTTCGATGAAAAATGAAATTTTAAAACAATTACCTACAATTATTTTTTATTTCTGCAACCATTATTTTTATTTTTACATTATGTTGTTAATTCTTCTAAAATTATGGAAAAGCTTGTACAACTTAACTGATGTTGTTTTTAAGTAGATATATATTTACAGATTATAATTTCCAAAGCTTATTACAAACTAATGAGTCTTCGTATATTAAAAAAAATTAATTTGTCAATAATGTGTTTACCAATGAAATCTACGCAAGACCGGAAGTTTGGTGCATGCAATAAAAATAACGTCACGTGGATTGAGTTTCTGTCTAGTATTTAAGGGTTGTTCTTCGCTGTATACGGCCCCTTAATTTAGCAAACTGTTCCTGCTGAAACACGTGTGCATCATTTTCTTTATCATTTTTATTAAGTTAAAATAGGTACTTTCATCTAGTTTTCATCGTAGTCCTGTAATGTTTGGTTGAAATCGGTTGAAAAATGTAGGAAATTCGATCCAATATATAAACGTAACACACACAACCTGGGTTTTATAATAAGTAAGATTCACATTTTGCCTCTAGAAAACTAAAAACATTTCAGTCATTTACACTGGCCAATTTTACTTTTAAATGAAACATTGTTTGCTTTCAGAAAATACCTAGTTTCATGGGATTCAGATAAACTTTCCTGGTATTTTCCAGATAAGTCATTTTTATATATATATATATATATATATATATATATATATATATATATATATATATATATATATATATTAAAAAATATAAGAATCCATTTATTTATTTTTTTCCGAGAATATAGGCTGTGACAAAATGACTTTTACTATGTTTGATTATTTTTACTGGGATAGAAATTTTTTATAATAGCAAATCTGAATTGACTTTAGAGGGGTCTATATGGGCCCTCAAACAGCAGTGCAGCACTTGTATTTTAATTTTTTTAATAGTATTTATAATTTCTCCAGATAGTATCAACAAAACTTATGGTACATAACAAAAAAAAAAAAAAAAAAAAAAAAAAAAAATTGTAATGGCGAAAGTTTTTTACTTTAAATATTACAAGTTACTACTTAAGTAGGTCCGCTTAAAAAAAATATGTCCATTCTGTGCTTCCGTATGGGAATTTGAATCTCACGTCAGCTGTCAATAATTTATAGACGTCAGCACTCTGTCAATCGACGGCGACGTTAAGATCAGCTCTTTTATCTTTAAAAACATTTTTCTACGAAGAAAGTAAGTAAAAGTTGCTTTCAAAATATTTTAAATAAACTTCAAATTTCCTAAACGAAGAATTTAACTTATTTTAAAAAATATGGCTTTTGTTCGTTATTTTGTAAACAAGTTTTTTAACTAAAATTTCGGACATGCTAAGAATGAGAAAAAAATTTCAAAAATTACTCAAAAAAATACTTTAGTGTTTCTTCTCAATAACGAAATACTTTTATCATGAAAAAAAAATTTTTCCATTAATTTTCAGACCGTTCTTGTCATGCTATCTATTTTCGCGAAAGAGGTACCTACGTAAAATACATCTAATGGATGCTTTGGTACACATCATCAGTGATGTTTCTAGCTGAGGCTCATTAGGGGTTTCGGGTCTTTCAACATCATACCCCCTCTCCATGGTGACCCAATCGATACTGATCAGGTATCAACTTGTGTACCTTTCGTTAGCTACAGTTTTTCCCATCTTTATAACTACACACTGCAACCCCCCCCCTTAGCCTTTTATAGCCACACTCCCAGATAACTTCCGGTTCACCAGCAATGTTCGCTCTTCCATAAAAAAGGAAGCAAACATACACACAATTTCTATCTGGTCAGAAACAGTCATAATAAATTGTTTAAAGCTTAAAAACTGGCCTGCCTTTTGTGACAAGCACTTTTAGGTTTATTTGTGCCAAACCCAAACAATACCATATGTAATGAAAACTTACCGACAACCAGACTAGAGACAGGAGTGTTTTCAGCAGCAACTTGCAACCAACCACCGGGAGCAGCACACAAGTCAACAACAACTCGAGACTTTTGGAGAAACTCAAATTTGCGGTTCAACTGGATTAACTTAAATGCAGCACGAGAACGGTATCCTGAAATTGCAATTGGATGTCATTAGCAGAAAAACATTGGATGACAAGAAAGAAAAAAAAAAAAAAAAAATCAAATTACAGAATGATTATAAAAATGAAAGAAGAAATGCATAATGTTAATAATTGTCAAAATTAATGAAACCAAATTTCTTATGCAATATCATTGTTTACTCAATTCCAGACTTCATCAATTACTGTTGGTGAGTGGCTGTGTGATTTTCTCCAGACACGGATTCTACATTCTTGCGAGATCCCTCTTTGTGCTCTCAAGAGTGTCATCCAGTTTGTGCACATTCCAAGCACAGCTGAGTCAACCGACTGTTCACATTTCAACTAATCCGCTGACATCTAGTGAAAGCACAAATCTGCACCTGGTGGTTATGAAGTTATCTTTCAGGCCAACCTGCTGATACACCTGGCTTCTGTGATGGTCTGGTATCACATTGAATGCAAAGTCTATTCTGGCACTATCTGGAGTGAGTCCAATACATATTTGGGTCATCACTGGGGAAGTAGATGGATTGCAACTGTCACTCAGGCACTCTATATGGCATTGCCAATAGGATGTTTTTTTTTTAGAACTGCAAAAAATACCAACATTCAAATTGACAACTTTGGAACATGGAGACAAAACCAGCTAAGAACCAACAATATTTGCAGCTTATGCAACAATTTTTTGAACTACCAAAGGAAAACATTGCACTACAAAAAAAAGAGTACTTCTTGGCCAGCCAAACACGTCTCCTGTCAGAAAACCAGAACAACCTACAACAGGACCAGACACAACAGACGGTGACTGGGTGATGTTTATTAACACATAGATCTGTTATAAAGAGATGTGTGAACTAACAGACCCAGCTGCTATTCAACCTAGTTGGGGCTAAGACTCACCTCTGTCACAGAAGAACAGCTGTTACAGCAAATACGGTTCATCGCTGTCAAGGGGTTGCACAAAGAAGTGTACATGTAGAACTTTCACTCTATGAAGCAGAAAGAGGGGGAGTCAATCACGCATTTTTTAGCTCAGTTACGAGCCCAGGCCAAATTTTGTGAGTTTATAATTACTTGTCCAAACACAACAAACTGCAGTTAGCAAGTGAATTACTCAAGCGACATGGTAGCAGGACAAATGATGGCAGGGCTTTCTAATGTCGAACACCAGAGCAAAATAGTGGCAGAGGCTGCTACACTCACCAATATAGAGCAGAAATTCGACAGGTTAGTCTGCCTAGAAACACCAAGTTACGTTATCCAATGTGCATAGGTCAGACAACGAGCGACAGTCCCAGAGAAAGTAAAGACCTCCTTGACCCCACAATATGCCAAGCTCTGCAAAGGGTGTCGAAGGACTTCACATCCCAATGGATCAGCTAAGTTGACATGTTTTAATTGTGGATTAATTGGCACATGGAGATGGTGTGTCAGAGATCAAAAAGGGGCCCACCAACAGATCAATGACAAGCATGACAAAACAGGAATGTTCTCACCACCAAAGGGCACATGGAGGATCCCAGCATGATGGCCCACCAATTTGGACAAAGTAAACAGGGGTAAAGTCAACCTGGCACAACCAAAGTTCGTGCCTCACCTCATTTAGAATGAAAACAAGTTCCAAGGGGTGTCTCCAGAATCACCAACCTCCTTGATGATAGAAGTAATCAGGATTCCAGAAGACCATGCTGAATATGGATACACCTCCATAGGACAAACTAGCCTTCACACCCACCAAGTCACCACAGTAGCTGACACAGAGGACTAAGTACACATAAAAGGCATAATATTTACATATATCAGAGTTGGTTCAAGAGAAACATGCCAAACCATATATGTGTCAAAGAACACATCCAGGTTTTACCTATCCAAATTGGTCTTGAAAGATCTAGGTCTAATACCTCACAACTTTCCAACCCAACATCAAAGCAGAACATGGTAATCGGCAACAATAGAAAGGCCCCGTGTGGATGCCCTAAGCTGGCAAACATCTCAATTACCTCTACAGAGAGCAACAGACCCCAACTGGAGCATTATTGAACCAGTGCTGATGGGTATGCCTACAACTTGGTTCTCTAGGATGGTGATTGCACCAAAAAAAGGACAGCTCATCCAGGTGCATGGTAGACTCGCAGAAGTTCAACACTGCTACCATGAGGGAGACCCACCATACTCCATCTCCATTTAATCAGGCCTTGATGTTGCCAGCACACACAAAGAAAAGTGCCCTGAATGCATGGAATGGGTACTACAGATTTCCCCTCCCCCAGCTGCACGTGACACAACTACATTCATCACTGAATTGGGCAGATATTGAGACCTTTGGGTTCCACAGGAATTTCAAGCGTTGGGAGATACATATACTCGTAAATTCAACAATATAACCATCAATATGGTCTGAAAAACCCGATGTATCAACGATAGCATACTCTGGGATGACTCCATAGACGTATCATTTTGGCACACAATGGACTATCTTACCCACCGCAGCAACAATGGCATTTTCTTCAACCAGGAGAAATTTCACTTTGCGGAAAAGGATGTGGATTTTACCAGGTTCCGTATAATGGGGGACAGGACAAAAGCCACTAAGAGGATGACAGAAGCAATCCTGAGTTCCCTACACCCGAAAACATCACCAACATCAGATCCTGGTTTGGACTTGTGAACCAAGTCTCATATACAGTCTCCCAAACTGAGATAATGGCCCCTTTCTGTGAATTGCTACAAAGTACCAGAAATTTTACTGGGACAATACACTCTACCAAATATTCAACAAATCAAAACAAAGGATTGCACAAGAAATCAACAACAGTGTGAAACATTCAAAGTGTCTGCCAAAAGACTTTAGCAGAACAGGGGTAGGTTACTTTCTGTTACAGAAGCACTGTAACTGTGCCATCAAAGAAGGACCAATTTGCAGATCCTGATTCACCAGTGATGCCAAGTCATGCTATGGACTGTTGGAGGGGGAGGCATTGTCGCTAGTATACATTCCTGTCAAAAGTTTATGTTGGGATGTCCAGAGCTAATAGTAATGGTGGACCACAGCCCCCTAATAAAAATTTTCTTAGAGAAGGCTCTGGAGGACATAAAAAACACAACTATTCAGCCTGAAAGAATGCTCATTAATGTAAAAGTTCTGTATAAAGTATCTCCCCAGCAAACTCAATGCAACACCAGAATGCACATCAAGATTGTACAATTAGTAAAGATTTGGCACAGATGATCAACAGTGCTATAAAGGCATCATTTAATTCCGCCTATGAACAAGATGACAAGATTTTGTCCAAGGCTAGACAAGTATTCGACAGACTAGAGCCTGATGCAAAACATGCAACATAATGATGCCACGATTGAATCCTGAATTCCCATTCCAAAAGACAGTGACAGATTTCTTCAACTTGCAAAGGAAAAATTACATGGTATACTCAAGATGGGGTAAAAGTTGCCCTTACATAATCTGGGAAAGCCAGAACAGCATGTGACACTCAACAGAATTGGTTCTGCATATATGATGCTCCAGAAGAAATATTGTCCAATGGAGGACAGTTCGATTCCCAGGAATATAATGTGTTCCTTGATAATTGGGGAATAAAAAAAGCACACTATCCATAGAGTAATGGACAGGCAGAACTGTCAAAACTGCCAAGTGAATATTGGCAGACATCACCAACAGCTATGGCTCCCTATGCCATGACCACATGGCCAGATCCCTATTAACACACTGTAATACCCCCATCCAAAACCTGGACATGTCGCTGATAACGATGTACAGCCATGTGATAAAGGACCATCTCCTAGCCCCCCAGGACAAATACCAAATTCATAAACAGTGGAGTGAGATCAGCTGGTATAGAGATGACCAAAAGGCATATGAAGAATGAAAAGTGTTATGACGCACACAGTTGCCCACTTCGAGGGCTAGAGATTGAAGATTGGTTCAGATACACAACCAAGCCTGTCCTTAACTATGCCAATGGGCAAAAACTGAGAGAGTTGTGGAGGCAATAGGCAATACCAAGTACACATTGACAGGAGCAACTAGGTGACCCAGCACAACCGCCTCTTCTTCTGGAAGGTAAACCCAGTTGTAGACACCCCATACCACCCCACACCAGAGGCTGTCCCCCAGATACTGGATATGTCAGATGACCTATCGGGGCCTGGACTCCAATATCAACAACCCAAAGAATGGACCACACCTATTGACGCAGATCGGTATGTGGAATTGCAACCTATGCCCTACCAGCCTGAACACCCAGGTACCACACATCAGAGGAAATGGATGTAGAGTACACAGATGGCTCGGAGAGGATGGAAATCCCCACAATGATGGACGTTAATGAAAGCCAACACCAAACAAATCAACCACCACCAAACCAGGATCCATGTCACAGTACAAAAACATCACAACCATCTTGAACTATATCTCTACAGACACAGGGTATGTTGCACAAGTACTCAAGGATATCCCTGCAATAGACCACAACCTAAACACCTTATGGTCCCATGATGGGGAAGGGCATACAGAGTAGGACAGACAGTCGTATCATATGGAGGGATGTCCGTAAAACCAACACCAGTAACTCATTCATGGAATGGACAAGCCCTGCCACATGCAAGACGTGGCACACATGTGAACAATGCAAATATAAACAAGGCTAGCGAGAAGCCTGGGGAAGTTGACAGATTGCAACTCTACAAAGAAAAGTATATTTTATTTTTGAGATTTTTTTAATAAAGAGAATTACATTGTGATGAAAGACAGCCATAAATGGCACTCAGCAATTTTAGCAATTTCAAAATGAAAACTACTTCCAGTCAATTTAAATTAGTTTTAAAATAAGACAAAGTATTTTCCTTATTGGAAATATCTATTAGCTTGAAACTAAAACTAAAATAAAATCTTCAAAAATTTTTCAAATTCATTTCATATCTTAGGTATCATGAATCTGTGAAGATACAGGAAATTTTAGCGTCTTTTTTTGTGAAGAAAAGACACATTGACTTGGAAATTCATGAAAATATCAAATAATTGTCGGATTTTAATGAAATTAAAATGACATTCACAAATTAATTAAATAAATTATTTTAGAAAGGTTCCTTTTTTAGAAAATCTTGGTATGCTTAAAAATCTCAAAGAAAAATGCGTAAATTAATGTCGTATCATGCTGATTTAATTTACCTTAGAGTACAAAGTGACCAATAAGCATTTCCAAAAGGAAAGGAAGCATTCATTTGTTTGTGCGTGCCTACCTTTCCCTTGTAATAGCTATGTAGGACGGGGTGCTACATACACTCTACCAAATATTCAACAAATCAAAAACAAAAAAAAAGTGGTCAGTTCCTTCGAAGGATGGAAACCTTGTTCATTGTTTGACCAGAACAATTTCAAATGATGAAGGTTGTTTTATCTCTTTCTATTAAAAAAAAAAATGATAATCTTAGTCTTTCTTAGATATTTATCTAGACTAAACTAAAATTGTGTTGTATTTTTCTACATGCTACCTAACAGAACTTATGATCACTGTTACACAGATACATATGGTGCACTGATCATCAACAAAAAGTTTAGACATTTCATTTAAATAACTGCTTTAAAAACAAAATTTATCTTCTACATCTAACAACCAGGATAATTTCCAACAGTCGTAAATCAATGAGACTATCCTGCTAAAAAGTAAATTATTGCTGTCTAAAATTAAAAAATTTCTAAAAATCTTTTTTAGCATATTCAGCTTCACTACCCTTTTTATCAAGTACACGATCCTAGAGGAAGACAATATGAGCAGAAGCAAGGGCATTGATATGTAGTTGGAAGTTTATAAGTTACCACGAGTTATTTATCCCTTTTGGCCTTCTTCAGGAATTTAGCGATCATCTAGAACTTTAGACTAGTCTCAGAGTTAAAACTATATACGCCGATTTACAGCAATTTTTTTCAATAAAAATGACCGAAATTTTACTTAATTATTTTTTATTTTACCAGTTAAACTTGAAAAAAATGTCAATAAAAATATTTTTTCTATCAAAAGAATAAATGTATTATCAGTAAATATAAAGTTATTCTTATATTTGATTATTTTTTTTCATATAAAATATTTTATTCGGATACAGAAATAAATTTTGTTCGATCTTCACGTATTTTAAAAAATTGAAAAATACGCTCGAAAATTGGAGATTTTTCAAATTTATTCAATAAAAACTTTATTTTTAAAAATATGCTTAAGGCACAAATTATTTCCAATAAGTATTTTAGGAAGAATTATTCTCATGTCTCGGATTATAATCTGTCAATGGTTATTTTCGAAGGAAAACTTTAAGTGACCAGTAGCCTAAATTTCCGCCATTTTAAAGCTATCACACGTGGTCGACACGAATTTCCATTCAGAGAAGTTGAACAGAAAATTAACTCCCAAATGACTTATTATGTAACAAAAATATTTAAACCAAAAATAAATGATAATTTTGCCTACTTACCAGTTTCTTTTGCGAGTTTATAAAATCTATCCTTACGAGCCTTTCCAAGTTTGGCCTTTTTACCCATCTTGGAAGACCAACAACTAAACTTCAAGAAGGGGAGACAATTCTACTCTGCAAACGTAAAAATAAATTCCTGTTAAAAAAAAATTCCGGTGTAACATTAAATTGTCTAAATTTGCAGAGGATTAAATATACCGGGTTCAGTTTTCACTGTCAGACAAACTGCCATGAATAAAAGCTATATTGAGCGCCAACGATAGATCACTGCTAATGCAGTGAACTTTACTGGGTACTATTACGACCCTCTTCTAGGCCAAGCTTAGTAGATATTTTATATATAATTTGTACTGTCTATGAAGAAAAACTTTGAAAATGTAAATTGAGATTTTGTGAAATGAACAAATTAGATTCAATTCAAATTATAATGGCCAAACAAAATAAAAAAAATCTTTTTTTAATTATTAATAGGATACATTATCTACTGAATGTATACCAATTTAAAATGAAATATAATTACCTTATAATTTATGTTGAAAAATAAAATTTATACAGTGTTGTGTCCATTATTTACATTATTCGGACTATTGAACTCATCTTTGTCACCATATTTATCACAACATTTTGGCCATTGTACGCTCCAGCCTTCTTCAGGTGGTTGGAACTTCAAACTGAACCCTTTATTTCACTCACTGGGGTAGACTGTTCTAGTTCCACGTGCCATGTTTGATGGATGTCAGTTATTAGTTATCTCCTGCTAATTTCCCTCTGAAAGTTCTCCACTGCCTTAACCAGGTATTGAACTCACACTCTTTGGGTCCTGTCACTGGATCTAACCAATGCTTTTATCCACTGTGCCATGTATCCTTATTACGTAGGACACCTGGGTATGAATTTCTGGGTATTATAAACCTAATGTCTTCAGCAACCATATTTACCAGTGCTCATATTGCAATTTTTGCTGTTATCATTACTTTTTTTTACCAGAGCTCATATTGCAACTTTTATTGTTATCATTGCTTTTCTCTGGCACTCCTTATTACTAGTTCCCATATTGTATTTATTTCTATGCTTGGTCTGCTCAGGAGATTTTTGTGGCCTAGCATGTGTGCTGATTCCTTAAGTTTATGAATTTTCCAATGGTGTTCCTTGTCTATGATCTCAACATGATCCCACAGAGGGCGGTGATCTCCTTTCTCTCTCCATATGTGGTCAGCCACGCCTGATTTTTCTACTTCCCTTCGTGTTACAGCTTTCTGGTGTTCTTGAAGCCTTATCTTGAGGGAGCGGCCTATCTCTCCTTTATATTCCTTTCCACAGCTGCATGGGATAGCGTACACACAGTCTTTAATCATGTTCTCCTCTATGGGGGGGTCTGACTCGGGAGAGATATCTGCAAAGTGTCGTCAAGCTTTTGAAGGTTGTCCTGATGTTATATGGACCGCAGATCCTTTGTATTTTCTCTGATAACCCCTTCACATAAGGCAGACAGACTGTTTTCTGATTGTTGTTGTCCTCCTCCTCTTGTACCCACCTATTCCAGTTTTTGGGGGCTGCTGCCATGTACCCAGGGTAGTTGTTACATTGTAGGGTACTACTTATACTGACCAATTCTTTATCTAACATCTCTGGGTTGCCACTTATGACTTTTGCTTGGTGTTGTAAGCAACAGACGATCCCTTTCTTTACGCTGTATGGATGGTGGGAGTTGAAATTGAGGTACTGTCTGAGTGAGACACCCCATAGAGAAGAACACGATTAAAGACTGTGTGTACACTATCTATCATTAATTCACTCATTCTAAACCAATGAGAATTGACCCCACTTTTCCCCTCTACACAAACAAACATGTGACATTCTCACTATTGGACAAGATGTTCACACAGACAGGTCATTAACATGTGCGCCAATGAAAATTTAATCTCATAATAGTAGCATTTATCTTTTAACACTCAACAAAAGTGTGAGGTAAGAAAACCCCAGACACTTCTTGTATTTTCTAAGTTACCTGGACACTCTTTACACACATCTATAAAAAAAAATCTACAAAATATGACTGTATACATTTTTACTTATTCTTTGTCTTATCATTCTGTCAGATTCCAATCCATATTTGACCCCAAACTCACAATTTTATTCAATATTACTGTCACTCATTCCTCCAACACTATAATACAGTCAGATAATAAATAATACTCATTTTGTTGTTTCCACATCTTGCTTTTTCTCATTTTTACAAGTATTTTTGTATATATAAATCTTAGGGTATTTATAATTATTGGCTCAGAGTTATAAATTCCCTACAACAGCATTTAAAACATAAAAAAATATTAATCTGCAAAGTTTCAGTTTTTAGGCATTTATAGTTATTAGAAATGTTATACTCTTAAATTAACACACCTTAAAATAGAACCAAGCATTTTTCAGTTAAATATTCACTTGTATTGTATCTAATACTAGGTCCATGCATCATGTATAAATAAAAAACATTGTATCAAGTAGTCATTCTGAGTAAAAGTTTGATTTAATGCAGTAAGAGAATTTAATAAAAAATCTCCCTGTGTTTAGTCTATTTCCTGTCATACAAGATCTGTCTTTAAAAGAAAAAAATATGACCAAAAAGAAAAAAAAAAAAAACAAGTTTTACAAAATTTACTTTAGCAAATTTACTTTTATAAAATTTTTGATTTTCACTTTATTTACTGTAACAGAAAAGAGCTGTGTTAGAAAGATTTATTCTTACATTTATATTTCCCCCATTATGGGCATTATTATATCCATGATATAATAATACTGTATTTCATGGACAGAATGGAATGGTTGAAAGAAAAAAGAATAACAAACATGCTTTGTTCTCAGAGAGACTTTTATACTACTAAGACATACACAAAATTATATATACATATATACACATATCCCATTCAGAGAATAATATATCCTTTGGCAAAGCAGAGTGTAAGCAGAACCAAAAAGGAAAGATCTTACATCTAATATGGAGATACTCTTGTGTCTGGAGAAGCCATGTTTAGGGCTCTAGATTCAAACAGAATGAATTCATCTATGCCCCAGGTGAGAACATATTGCACAAACAGCAAGTCTTGGATTTTCCCAAATTGAGGACTGCTAGCTGAAGTTTCATTCTATATCTGGGAATGATATAATCCCAAAAGAAAAAGCACCATGAACTTGTAAGCTGCTGGGGAGGCAGATTTAGCCTCTACTCAGGCTATAGAGGGCCCAGGCTAAAGAAGACACCATTACAGTAACTGCTGAAAACAAACTGAAATTGACTGCCACTTACATTGCTGTATGGAGTGATGTCATTAAGTGGTCATCATTACTTATCTCCACCAAAAGGAATAATCACCTTTTGTATCCATACACTACTCTTTGTCTTTTCCTTTCCATTTTCCTGGTAGACAAGTTGAATATTTTTACATGGTCAAATATCCCCTGCATCTCAGCCTTTTTCAAGTTAATCTACAACTACTATGTATATATAATGCTGTTATATACAAACTAACATAATTCTGTATCAGTGTGATGTAGACATCTTTTTGCAGTTCATATTTGTTATGACCTGATTACCAGAGAGATAGCTGTCTGATTGATTTCCACTTAGTAACAGTGACTATAAAAACTTAATTCCTGATGTAATGGAATAACCTGTCATCCCCATGAGTAATTACACTATAGGTAGTAACTACCTATAAGTATTGGTAAGTCAACGGACTACGGAGTCTAGCTGGGATCTGTTGAGTACAACTCAGACTTATGCAAGAACTACTGACCTTTCAATAGTAGTACTCACTATGGAATTGACTTGCGACGATTGTGCGCATAACTGTTACCTTATTTCTTATTGTACTGGTTTCTACAATAAACCTTTACTTATTTTATCCACCGTGTTTTATATTCCTACTAGCATGGAATATAACAATTCTCTACTAAGTTCTTGTGCCATAGACAAAAACTTTGTTAGTAGGAATAGCAAGCCATAATAGGTGCAAAATAACAACATGAGACTCAACCACTGCATAAAATTTTAAAGGAAAAAACATTTATTGCACATTTAAAGAAAAAAAAGTACAAATAGAAAATTTGCACAAAATTTTTCTTTTGTGCACCTATTAAGGCAGGATAACAATTTCTGATAAAAATGATTACCATCGAAAAATGGAAAAAAAATTACTTTTTCAGTTTAGAAAAAGACAAGGATTTGATGACAACAAAAGAATACAATTCAAAAAGGCAGAAAAACAAAGGTTCAACCACCTTTCAGAAAAACAAAAACATCTGCTTTTACTTGCTCTCCGGGACATATAGTAATTTTAGAAAAGCCCCTTTTGAATTCACACTGTTCGTGCTTGGAAAAATCTCTTAGAATTCTTTTCATTCTTTGTTGTCCAACTGCAAGAGAATTTTCACTTGTGAACTTCTTGGCTCTCTGCAGCTAACTGGAAACTAGTGCCTTCTTGTTGCTCTCTTCTTGATTGGTCCTGATCTGGCATTTTGTTTACAGTCACTTTCTCATAGACATGTCGTTGCTTCCATCTGTCTTTACTACAAATATTTCACGGTAACTGCTCCAATGAGCTACTTTCGCTGGTTCCCAAGCTACATGAATTTAAGCATGCTACTAGGTTGGCATCTCAGTCCCACCCTTTCGCTGTTGAAATGGTTAAATGTAGTTGTCTCTTCTACTCCAATAACTTCATGTCCAGCACTTCCCATCTGTGTAACTCCCTTCCTCTTACTTGCTTCCCTGATAGCTATAATCTTCAATTATTCAAATGCAATGTGAATCAACATCTTCAGATGCCTTGATCTAATTCCCTGTCATTCTCTTCATCCTCTCCTCTATCATGCCACTTTATTCTTGCTCCTGCTCTCTGTAACCTCTTGCATGCTAGTGGCACTCCCACTTTACTTGGGATGAAATGCTTAAAAAAAAAAAAGAATGTAGACTAAAAAACAACCTAGAAAATTAGACATTTATTCAAGACTAACATTTTTTATGGTAAGATTTATTGTGAATGATTGATTGATTGATTGAAGTAGTAAAAG